TATCCACTTAGAGTTGTACTTTTATGTATGGTATAAGATCAGGACACATTATTTTTCTCTGGCACATGGAAGTCCAGTTTCCCAAGCACCACTTACAGCATTGAAGAAATTATATTTTCGCCATTGTGTCCTCTCTGAGCCCTAATCATGAGTTAACTGACTATTCCTTTGAATTTATTTCTGAGTGCTCTCTAATATACTAAGTTTCTGAAGGGAAAGCATCACACTTTATTCTTTACCAAATCTCTTGATGTAGAACAGTCATATCTCATGAAGGGTTTGATGGGGTCATAGCATGGCTATCTTGCCAATGCGTTAGAACATAAAAACGCTTGCTATTTTTCTCATCATTCTGATCTTTGCACTCCATGGAGTAGGGAGTCTCCAACTCTGAGTTACAGCACACCTCAGGAAAATGTCCATGACACTCCAGATCTTGACTGAAAACTACCTTGGCTTTCAAACTGGACATGGGTAATCAATCAAATGTGATACTCATAACTGTGCCTCTTGCCTTTCTTCATTGCATTCAACAGCAGAGCTATTTACATACTTACACAAAACATATCTATCCCATCTAACCCTTCTTTAAATAGTAATTTCCAGGGATTCTTGCTTAGATAACTTTAGAGTCATTTAAATAGAATGCAGGAAAGTGGATATGCTGCCCTGAAAAGGAGATATTAAAAGATTTTCAGAGAGTTAAAAATATAGAGAGAGCTAGCCGTGATCTATATGTCTTGTGACCATACAACTATTTCTGAGGCACCATCATTAACAGAACATTTTTTTTTAGCATTATAAAGTCCTCTACCATAAGTTGTACTGGAATGGGAATTGTTTAGAATGAGACTATTATCACATCAACACACAGTAAAGGGATGTGAATAAAATATTATTCAAAACTTTGTTTTATTGTGATAAGAATACAACATGAGATCTATTTTTCTATCAAATTTTAAGTATAAAATTGTTGGTGCCCATATATAGGTACAATATTGTACAGCAGGTCTCTAAAGTGTAATTTTACTTTACTGAAACTTTCAGTCTGTTCATTAATAACTTTTCATTTCCTCCTCCCCTGTCCCTTGAACCTCTCCTCTTTGATTCTTATTTTGACTGTTTTAAATACCTCCCACAATTGTAAACATGTGATACTCTTCTTTCTGTGTCCAGCTATAATATATTCTTATCCAACTTCTTTGAATTCAACCTTAGATTTATTTCAAATTTTATACTTTGATTTGAAGTTAAAGAAGTATCTTTGTTTACTGCTACTGATTTAAGGCTTCTCCCATTTGCTCTCACCAGCACATCATTTCCATTGTGTAGAAGCCTCAATTCTGACTGTCTTCATTAAACTGCACTCACTTGAGTAGTATGTGCATTCAGAAAGTAAATATGTACACATAAATTGTAGCTCAATGTATAAGTGGTTTCATTCACAACTGGCTTCACATGTTTCAATTGAATGTTCAGGCATAAAAGCACAGAAATTTGCTTGATAAAATACAGTTTTTGTCCTCACACACCATAAAATCCAGCTTCAAATTGAGATCAAAGGAGTAAAGTATTATTGCTCTTTCAGCAAGAGGAACATTTAGTGTTTGCATCAACATTAGTTTTTAAATATGCTGAAAATAAAGATACCAGACAAAAGGCCAAGTTAGAGTACCCCTTGCTATTTGCATTGCACTAAAATGTAAATATACGAGGCCATGGCATCAAGATTTCTCGAAGCAGTGGAGCTACCTGTATGTAAGACTTTTAAAGGCTCGTTTCCTCTGAGTCAGAGGAAATCTCTGAACTTTGTGTCCCACAGACACAACAATTCTTTGCCTGTGAGACAGGGAACATCTTAAAATTCTTTTCCAAGACCTTCCCTAACTTTCTGCCCACAAGCAATAATAAACTCCAGAAAGGAGGGCCTGTAATTACCTATTGGACATACTGATAACAAGTAAAAATAAAATATTTTATTTTATTTATGAAACTATAGTCTTTTAGGAATTATTTATGTAAAGAATCATTCATTTATTTATTTATTTATTTATTTATTTTTTTGTACAGAGATCAAACTCAGAACCTTGTGCTTTCCAAGCAGGCGCTGTGCCTCTGCTAAATCCTGGTCCCATTCATGTAATTTTGATTCTGAAATCTTCATGTGATTTTTGCCTATTTAGATTTATGCCCTAACACATTGATTTGGCATTTGGGTTGAGGTATGCATAAGTGAATTCTGACTTAATTTTTAAAGTCCTTCATAAGCAAGGTCCTGACTCCAGAGAGATCCTACTCCATAACAGCAGGGGAAGAATGCTGCACGAGAAGCCAAGAAGAATCCAAACACACAGACCTTGCTGAGTCTTGCTTCCCTTCACTACAAATTTTTCATCCAATCACATTTCTTTGTGGCTGTCCATGCCTCATGGAACCAAAGTATAAATGCAGACAGTGTGATCTAGGTTTTTGAGCTTTCGTTTCTGAAGGTTCCTGTATCATGTAAAACAGTTAAATGTGTTATGCTTTTCTCTTGCTAACCTATCTTTCATTATAGGTGCATTACCTGTGATTCTTATGATAGATGAGGGATATCATCTTTCTGCCTCTAAATCTCCAGTGACATCTGTTTAATGTCAATCTTAATGCCTATAATTCTAATTTTAGTGCAGAAGTATTTGGTTAGAAAAATAAATGTCTTAAAAAACACAGAAATGATAATGCTTGTTAACCCTTGAAAATTCTTGAATCATTAAATGAATCATTAATTCAGTCAACTTGCTTTTATCAAGTTCAATCAGAGCCACATACCCAACACATGATGCACACATGCAGAGATTATAAAGGCTGTTTTATGTATTTATGATACACATTCTAGCACACAATGTTAACACACAGAATTATACAATCTATGGAATGCAAGATGTCTTCAATAAGAGATCTTTAATTTAAATCACTATTTATAACAGCTAAATGGAGAATTAACCTAATATGCCCACCAACAAAGGAATGAATAAAGAAAAAAATATGTATGTACAATGGAATATCATCCAGCCATAAAAATAAGTGATATAATTTGTAGCAAAATGAGTGGAAGTAAAGATATGTTAATTAAAACAAATTAGACAAACATTCTGTCTCTCAGCCAGACATTCTCTCTCATATGTTAATGATTTAAAAAGTTAATGAAAATATTAATAGATCTGGAGCTTTAGCTCAGCTGCACAAGCACCTGCCTGGCAAGCACATGGTCATGAGTTTGATCCCCATACCAGAAAAAAAATTTGATAGAGATTAAGTGACTGAGAGAATGGGGAAGGGGTTTCAGAGGGATAATAGGAACCAACACCTGTGTTTTACAGCATAATGGGGCAACTATAACAGTAACTTTTATATAGTTTATAATTTTTCTATAAGAAAGGAGCTTGAAAGCTCCAAGTCAAAGTAACAATGAGAGGGAAATGTTAATTTCCCTAATTTAATTAGTATAAACTGTATACATGTAGTTAAACATTACACTGTTCCACATATATGTACCAATATTTGTGGCAAATAAAAAATGTTAGTTTTAGGGAGGTTAAATTTTGCCCTGATTTAATTATAACACAATGTATGTATGTATTATGTCACTATGCTCCCAAAATATGTACAATTAGAATTTAAAAATAACTATTTTTTAAAGAATTTAATCTAGTGTCCAAGCCAGTTCTTTTCTACTTAATGCAGTTAGCACCTGTAAGAATGCAGTTTTATGACTATACATAATATACTGTTTAAGGAAACATAATTTCAGGATATACAGAATAAGTGATTTTCTCATGACAAGTATTTTCTATATATAAGAATTAGGAAAATTGAAGTGCGACAGCTTTCAGGTATCATTTTTAACATTCCCTACCTATTCATTGAGGCCTGGGAGTAGAGATGTCAGAAAGCAATATCAACTATTGTTAAGTTATGTAGCGATCAGAGTCATGATATCAGTTTTTCAGTGCACTCCCAGAATATCAATAATGATTAGCTTTTTTTTTTTTTTTTTTTTTGTCTTTTTCTTTTTTATCGGTACTGGAGATCGAACTCACGACTGCCTGCTTTACAAGGCAGGCGCTTATGCGGCTGAGCTAAATCCCCAGCCCCTAATAATGATTAACTTTTGAATCCATTTTTATAACAATCTTTTTGGCCCTTAATTGAGAATCTTTACAAACTCCATCTTCTACTTAAAAATATATTTTAGTAAGTAAAGAATTTCAGGGTAAACTTTTAAATTTTTTGCCTGAATTTAGCTAATTTTTCCAAATATAATTACTTTTAAACTCCTGATTCTGAAATATGAATTTCATAATAAGATCATTTGAAACAGAAAAATAGGATACTGAATCTTTAAAAAATACAAAATAACTATAATTCTTTCACAATTTTTGTAATTAAACAATTTGTATATGAAAAATTTAGCTATAAGAATATATGCTCTTCCATATATTTGAACAAGAACCTAAGGCTTAGCATGTGAATATTTCATATTTTTACTTTAAAATATAAAAGAAGAGCTGGACATAGTGTTGCACGCTTATTATCCCACTCATGAAGGCTATGATAGGATGGTGATAAGTTCCAATGTAGCATGGGTAATTTAGTAATATGTAAGATTTTATTTCAAAATAAGAAGTAAAAAAGGGCTAGGTGATTTGGGTGTGGGGGTGCACAGCTGCAATCCAAGCACAAAGGGAGAGGGAACCACAAGGATCACAAATTCAAGCCCAACGCGACTATTTAGGGATTTAGCAAGCTTTTATCTACAACGGGGGCTGGAGATACAGCTTGGGGCAACATCTGGGATTCAATCCCTAGGGCCCTAAAAAGTTTATTTTATATGATATAATACAGATTCTGTGTTGAGTATATTATATTGGTGACCGTAACATATATTATATGTTGATATCATGAAGAGCTAATTAAGCCATGTTCAAAATACAAATAATCACAAGGGGAAAACTTACCATTGTTTTGCACGTTGGTACCTGGAAGTGACTTAGGGGCAATTTCACATTCCGTTGATACAATGATGTCATCCACTGCAACAGTAGCATTCAATGACAAAACAGTAGCTTCTAGAATTAACTATAATCACAGGAAGATAAAATATTTTAAATGTCATAAGAGCAATCTTAACAAAAATATTTCTTTGTGTAGAGGTACTCATTTGACCTGTCCCATTTTCCCTTTCTTTTTTAAAAAATGTTTTGACTAGAACATTCAGATTACGAATTTATAGTCATAACTGCTTTGACAGCACCTTATGTAACCTTAATATCTTAGGTAACCTTGTTTCAATTAAAAGTTGCAACATTCATCACTTATGAAGGTTTCTCTTCCCATTGGAGCCATTAAGAATCATATGCATTTAAAATGAGCTCGGGGTAATCAACTGTGTGGTTTACAACTCAATTTAATTGAGATATGAATTCATTTGTAATGGGTCTGCTGGAGGCAGTGATTCATTTACATATGCAGACTATTTAAAGATATATATATATATATATATACATATATATAAAATGTATATACATACAGAAACATAGTTAATGAGGTAAAGCACACAACAAATAACCACATAGAGCAGTTGCTTATATTCATTTGCTAAAGCACTGGAGACATCTATTTAAATTTAATTTATTCCAACACTCTGAATAATGGCTGATATAATTTGTTTCTTTCCTGTTAATCACACACATTATTATGTTGTTATTCCACCACAAAGGAAGGAAATAAGTGAGGAGCGAAGGGGCGAGAACGAAAGATAATTCCTGGAACTTTAATGACCTGTATGTTAGACCAGCAATCCCAAACACAGATTTAGGTTCGTCTTCCTCTAATACAGAGGACATCTGATCCTCAGGATCTCACAATTTAGCTGTGTCTTATCTGTGTCACAGCTCAGAACATACTACCCCAAAGCAGTGAATGTGGAGCTCACTTGGACTTTCCCTTTTCTATATGAGAGCAGGCCCTCACGGAGTTCTCTGAACCATACATTATCCTGCAGTACTTCCTTGTGAAAAAAGTCCTGCCCCATCCCTGGAGAAAAGCAGTCCTATAGAGAGGCAAAAACAAATCTGAGCAAATAGGCCTCACTAAATTTCCTCAAACTCATTGCCATGATACCATACATTTTTGTCAAATCGTTTTTCTATAATAGTCCATTCTTAATTAGCATTAAAATATAGTTTTCCCTGGGTCTTCAGGAATTTATTTCTGAAGGTCCATTCCAAATAAATTTTTACATTTTTCTCTTTTTTAACCTTCTTTTCTTATAGAAGTATCAGCCATGAATCTCATGATGTGAAGAAAATACCATTGTCTTTCTCCTTGCCAACAACTGAACTGTATCATAAGGGCTATAGAAGCAGTAAGTATAAGATACCAAAAAAAATCAAAGAAAAGCACTCAGTTACTTCTGTCATGAATATGGACTGAGTTTGGAACAATATTAATGGCGAAGTAATATTAAAGCTTGGTTATAAATGCTGTTCTACTCAAGAAACTGAAGAAACAAAGCAAAAGCAAAGAGATGCAAAGGTACACGGAATGCTTAGAAAATTTCAGGGGTTTTAGGACTATTGATTTTAAGAGAACAACCAATAATTAGATAACAACTTGAAAGGATCATTGATAAGTTGGCATAGCCCAACAGAGAACAACGGAGTGATGGCTACTAAAAATAGACATAGTACAGGCTACACGAATTAAACTCATTTCTCAGCATTTACCCAGATACTCACAAGCACACACATGATCACCTGGGTAGCGTGTTCACTTTAAGGCTGATACCAAATGAGTAGAAACAAATGTAAATCGATAAATAAATGGTAACAGAGATTATATGTTAATAAACCAATTAAAAATAATGTCTGCCTCTGTGCTAATATAGAAAGAACTTTAACACATGTTTCTGCATAAAAAATTAAGTTAGAGGGAAAAGCAATTTGCAGTATGGCACTATTTAACCCGAAATGCACAGTAGTTTAGATTTCTGGATATGTATGGCACATACATATTCAATACACTGAAGATAAAAAGGAAGTAAAATCAAACCCGTATCTATAAATGATCAAGATGTAGACAATGAAATAAGATATAGACTATGATGGAAGGTGAGGGGTGTCAGGACGGTCTTTTGTTTTATTGCGATTTTTGATGTTTTAATGCCATGTAAAATATCAGTGATCAGTATAATTCTAACTAGAGACTACAAAACTTTAACCAACTAAGAAATGTGTCCTTTACATGAGCGTCAGAAAATACCTAGTAACACATGTTTGAAAGAAGAGCTTATATAAAATATACACAGGATTGAATTTAGAAATAAATTATATTTAATAGCACTAAGTAAAACTAATCATAATTCACTTTGGACAAGCGTAACTATTTTTCATATAATTCATTATTACAATATCCTGCATTGATGACAATTAATATATAAGCACTTAAATTTTCAGTCTAAGGATATAGGCAAGTGTGGTCCACCATATTTTAAGATCTGTGCAACCCAGAAAAAAAATTGTGAAGAGAAAAGAGTATTCTGGAGGCACTTACTGTGCTATCTAGAGACACTCACACTCTTAAAAATGGGATGGGTGGTCTCTGGAAGGAGGTGAAGTGAAACCATGAGCTACTCTGGGGTTAATGGGACTACTGCATTTTGCCTAAAGTGACACACCAGGCCCGGTTATTCACACTAAAATGTAATTTTCAACATAACTTCACAAATCAAATAAAAATGATAGTGAGTCACGTGAACACAGTGCTGCATGCTTGTAATCCCAGCACTCGATAGGCTGAGGCAGGAGGAACACCATGAGTTCAAGACCAGCCTGCACTACATAGTGAGCCCGACTCAAAATACTACTAGTACTACTACTAATAATAAAAAGTAGTAGGTCATCTGTACTTCTTATTGATAATTTCTATAGAATGAAATTCAAGGTCATATAATGAAAGATCACAATTCTACTAAAAATTAAAATCATTCTTATTTAGCCCTTTAATGCCAAGGGCTCCACTTTTGGAACACCCATAACAATGGAACATAATAAAATTTTTTCTTTTCCAATTCTTGTTCTTTGAATTCTTCTAGGTAATTTATATGAATTTCATTCAAAAAATTAAAAAATTGCAATCTTTGAAATAAATAGGTTAAGAAGAAAAAATAGTTATTCTCTCTTAAAATGTGTAACTGTAAATAATTATAATCTAATTCAATGTCATCTTAATTATTCTTATTTTCTGTTTTAGCATGCCAATCTTCTAAGCTTTAGGAACAGTGTTAATTAACAATAAGAAAGAAAAAAGTTGTTTAGAAAAGATGTTTCAGCCATTCATAAAGTAGAAGTAAAAAATTTCTTTTACCTGATTTGTAATAAAATTTGAAATTTAAAGTTAAGTATACATGTGTTTAGTTTCTAAAACTATGTGTCATGATATTGATGACTTTGCTTTATTCACTTACTCTCTGAAAGACTGAAATAATTTCTTGCTTTCATAAACTACGCATAAATGTTCTCCCAGTGAAGTGATTAATTTTCACAGCTACAAAATGGAGAAGCCTTTCCAGAAAAACACTCAAGGAGCAATTTAGATACTTGTAATTCAAAAAGAACAAAATAATTAACTTGAATATAATAGAAAAAAAGGAATATGATGAGATGAACAGAAAGAAATTGAAATATAGAAGTTTTTGAAAATGATGGTGGTGTCCATAAAACAACAAGCAGCTTTTATTCAGCACCTACTACCTGTAAGGCAGATTTACACCCTTTAATATTTGAAGATGGTACTACATATTTATCCTCCCAGCAGTGTCTAAGGTCACCCTTAAACAACACAATCCACTAAACCTGAAAGAACAAAAATTTAGTCTGTTTCTAAAAAAAGTCTACCCTGCATAGATACTGGAATATTTAATCTTTAAATGTAATATTTGTGAGTACAGTATCAGATTTGTTGTTAATAAAAAATTATGCATACTTTTATGCTTTTCAAAACTTAGAGAAATAAGATTAAAACCAATATAATATTAACATTTGCCTGTCTTGCAGAGAACTAGGAATGGAATGGGAACAGAAACAAGGAAGACAAAACCTCATCTTTATTAGCAAATAAACATCAACATTATAAGTAAATAAAATGTTGATAATTCTGGAATATGAATACGTTGATATTTGCTTCTCTCTGTATGTACTAATTTGAAATAACATGTCATATTTATGCATTTAATATGCCATGTGTATACATCTGTGTACATATATGCATATAAAATATGAACTAAGAACTAATATGTATAAGATTGTTAATACAAGCCCATGATTCCTAATCTAAAGTATTTGGGCCAGATAGGTTTTGATACTTGTATAATTCAAACTCGACAAGGTCATATAGCATTGGTAATCTTTATTACATGATACCCTCAGGGAAGTAGGGAATGATACATGTATAATCAAACTCTTTACTAAATAAACTAAGTGATACGTGCTTGCTATGATCATCTTCTTGCATTATAGTATTAACTAAGATAATCATATCATAAGTTAATAAAAACAACTGTCAAAGTTAAAGAGCAGTAAAAAGTAAAACAACAAGATTAAAATCTAAGTATGGCCCACGTCAAGTTTTTTTCACTGCTTCACATGATCTAACATCTCCATTTAGGGAAAAAAAAATACTTTAAACTGTTATTCTCCCTGCCATCCTATTTAGTGTTTTTCCCACTTTTGCTATCCTTCACACGAGTTCTGAGCATGTGAGAGAAAAATAACCTCTATTCATCTATGATCATAATATATTTGCTTTATTAATATCAATTTCATGGTACAGTATATGTCTTACTTTGCAGTCTGAAAAGATTAGCATTAAACATCTGTATTGCGCTTACATCAATTTCTTAAGTGCTTACCTGAAAAGGCAAAGCGGATTCTTCAGCTTTCATATAGAGACTGATTTTTGCTTGGCTCCACTGAGATTCAGAGAATCCAATGATTTCGCCTTGCTTTTGCAAGTTTCCATTTAGTGTTTTTGTGAACACTGAAAGGACTGAGTGCCCATACAAATGATACCAAAACTGTACCTGTTGAAAAGATTTTGAATATCTCCCTTAGGAAAGGCTTTAGGCAGTTCAAAAACTTGTTTTGATCAAATACTGGAGAGATGGCTATATAAATGGGACCATAACATACTATCAAGACAAGTTTCCAGACAGGTATTTTCCACAAGGACATGAGCAGCAGCACTCTGCTTCAAAGGAAATTCCCGAGGATTCTTCTCACTTGCATCTTATAAATCTGGGGGCTATACATTATAATTCAAAGTTACAAAGTCAGGCATTAACTCTATATTCTTCACTTCAAAAACCAAATCAAGAACTCGTTTCCTTGAAAGTTTGTTTTCTCAGGTAAAGCAAAATTGCATGGAGCAGTTTTCATTAATTCATTTTCTATTGTAACATTATCAAAGAGCTTGGAAGCACAATATATACTGTGTTCCACATTAATTTAAGTCAAATAAAAAATGAGTCTTTGTAAATCTAGAAAGCCTTAATTATTTCAGCTCCTATTCATCATCAATGATGACATAATCTGAAGCTCTGATGGCTAAACCACATAATGAAGAACATAGGGCTATCTTATATGCTGGCAGTAATAACTCTAACATGAATGTGGTATATACTGAGCATTTTTCTAATATATATTGAGTATTTACTAAGTATATGTTAAAATATAAAACAAAAGTCAATTTCCTCAAATACTGGATAATTTATAAAGTCTATTGACAAAGCTTCACAAAACCAAGTTTACATATAATTCAATCAATATTTTTCTTCTTTTCATTGTCATAGAGAGGACAGAGGTTGTATGTATTAAAGTAAAATCAAACATTCAAAGATAAAATTCCTTGGAAAAGGAATCTTTACTATTGGATCTAAAGTGACTATTCTTAAGTTTCATTATATTGTATGTGTTTTGTTTTGTTTTGTTTTTCTTTGCCATTGTGCTTCCAGCCTGTCACATGGACAGAAAGTGCCCCATTTGCTCCACTGTTGGGACTCTAGTTTCAGAAATGAAAGTTGACACAAATATTTCAGATGTTTTTTAAATAGTATCTTTTTAGTTTAAAACAAAGATTTTGTGTTCTGATTTGACAGTTTTTTCAACTTCTACTTAATTACCACCACCTAATAAAAATTCCTTATAATTAACCATTTATTTCTTGATTTCATTGTAATATTCACCTAAATTCAACATTTAACAGGTAAATTAGAAAAGTTGAGTCAAATGGAAGTTTTTCATTAAATTCCACAGAAAGAATTCATGTTCCCCATCTGTGACTAAATTTTAGGTTCTGCTGTAAGTTTCATCATGTTCTCAGTTGTAAATGTATAAAACAGGGCTTTAAACCTAGCTGTACAAGAGATGTGCATGTCCTCTCAAGATTTCGAGCTGTCAAACTGTCACTCAAGAATCCTAGCAGTGTGAAGTTATTCTAGTAGTGTACTAAGTAAAAATGCCAAAGGGATCCATATCCAATAGGATAAGGATTTAGAACTTCCATTTAATTTTCTCTTTTAAGAGAATAAAATTTGCACTGCAGAAACTTAAATTCTTCAGTGTATTGTAGACCAAAAGAGGTTCCCTAGTCTTTTTAAATTTAATGTAGATAAGATAAAATCATTGAATAAACATTATAATAACTGCGATTCCATATAAATGGTCACCAGACATTCAAACTCTGTGCCTTTCAGTCTGGTATAAGTCATAATTTCAAAAGTGTAAGATAACTTTAAATTCCTTGCAGGACCTACTAGTACAATTTGTATTTACTAAGAATTCAGTTAAAATGTTAGAAAATAATGAATGAATGGACTATTGGTATTAGTGCTAAAGTAAAGGTCTTAAAAATTAAAAAAAAGAGAGAGAAAAGCAATATAGTCTAGTGAAAAGGCCATGGGTTTAATCCTAATAAGTGAAAGAAAATGTGGGAGAGATATGAACTTAATATCAGAGAATGCACAAAACATTAGATGTCCTTTGGAAGGAGAGGAGAAAGAACAGAAAAAAAAAAACAATTATAATAAGTAAAATGAAAACATTATGCAAATAATACGGTTATGTAAATGTAAACCAATGAAAACAAAATTAAAAATTCAGTTTGTTAGTAACATTCTCCTCATCCTAAATCCTCAAAAATTATACGTACACTGTGGTTACTACACTGAACATAATAAAGGAAACTTTCCATCATAACAGAACTTTTATTAAACAACTGCACAGCATAATAGCTCAATTTTAAAACTCACTACTTATCATTTTAAAGAAATCGTTTTCCTGACTTACTAAAGTGTATTTAAATAAAATGTAAATACAGATTCTGACTATTTAAGGGATATTCGTGGACTTAAAAAGCTTTCAACAAAGTAGGTCCTTAACTATAAACTGGAGAGAAAATCTGAAGGTAACATTATTGTACTCTACTTCCATTCTGATCATATATTTGTATTTAAAGACAAACATATCAAATCATTCATCTTACTCCAACAGCGTAGACCATCTCAGATGATCCAGGCCTATGGGTACCTTTGAGTGAGCAAATTGGAGAGGGGACACAACCTCAGCGCCCTCTGCTGATGTTCTTAGGAGGAACAGTTCTGCGTTTACACAGAGTAATAAGGCTCTAATATACAATCTGAGTTCATCTCAGGTTGTCATTTAGAAGTTTAAAGTGACTTCTTTATTTGTTACCCTTTTCATTCAATCTTGATTTGCCACTAACCAAAACTCTCCTTTGTGAATAATCTGCTTCTTTCCTCAGCTCTGCTGTAGCCTTTGTTCCTCTTGCTTCCCAACCTCAGTCAGACCGGCATGTCTTTCTCAATCAGTGGGCAGCAGACCTTCAGCTGTCACTGTGCTGTAGGCTGAATCTTGCATAACTGGGCATGTGTTAAAGGCTTTTTTCCCAATATGGCACAATTAGGGTGTGACAGGAGCTTTATGGAGGAACCTAGAAGAAGCCTCTCAGTCACTGAGAGCCCTTGAAGGAAATTTTAGGATCTTTTTCCTTTCTTTTTCACTTCCTTACCGAGGTGAATGGCTTTGTTTCACTACATGGTCCTACCATGGTATGCTGTCTTATGAGAGGCTCTAAGCACAGGACCATCCTACTATAGGCTGAAGTCCCCAACACAAAATAAAAACTTTTCTTCTCTGTAATTTGATTATGTCTGGTATGTTGTTATAGTGATGAGAAGCTGGCCAATAAAACCTAAATTGCAGGTCAGGGATTTAGCTCAGTGGCATAAGCACCTGACTGGCAAGCGCAAGATTGTGAGTTCGATCCTAGTACCAAAAAAAAAAAAAAAAAGTCTAGACTTTGTGCTTCACATTGGACTAATTTTTGCTATATCTGATATATCTTTTCAAGATCTAGAATAAGATGAAAAATAACAAGAATACAAAAATGTTTTAAAATTAAGGACTGCAAAGCAAACAAACTTAAAACATCTGCATATCCTAAAATCTCTCCATCTCTCTACTTCTGTCACACACACACACACACACACACACACACACACACACACACACCCCTCATCAATACTACTATAGTATTTTTTATGGCTTCTAGTCACAATTATTTTTTATCCTGAGTATTCCTTCCTTTGACAAGCTTAAGTAGAACTTTTGCATTGTCCATAAACAATGTTTTACTCCTTGAAATAATTAAATTCCACATGATCCGATTATGTACAAAAGCACTCACTCAACTCTTCATTCCCAGGCCATCAATTCCTCTAGAATCCATCAGACAATCTGACACCTTTTCCTGGTTTCAAAAGTAGAACTAGGACAGAGAATACAAAAATTTAAAAACTAGCTGGCAGCTTAACACCACACTAGGACAAGATGTGTTCATCTGGCCCATCGCAAAATCAGACCATCAAACCCAGCCTTGACTGACTGCACCCATCAGCTTTCTGTAGACAGTCTGCCCAGGTCACTGGACTAAGTCCAGCTACAGTGCTTCTGTTTTCCTATCTAAATCTATACCCTATTTTACTAACTGGTTCCAAGGACTGACTAGCCTAGTCAAGGACAGGGATACGTATGATTTCATCCACCTCCTCACCCCAACTCCCTCCTAAGAGTCTCCCCACCTTCTGATACATAATCTCTCTAACACAATCTTCCCAATCTCCCTAATAACATATGACATAGTCTATTACTGATTCGCTACTGGCTTCTGTACTTCCTGCTTGCAAAACCTTTATGACCAAAGCCCAGAGCTGATCTGGGGTTGGTGACTTAGAACTGGTCTTCCCAGCAGCACAGCAACATAATAGTTTCCCTTCCAACTCCTTGGTGCAAGGCATCTTCCTTTTGGTTCAAGAATAGGTTTCCACAACAGAACCAGGAAATAGGACATGTTTTCACAGCTATAATCAAACACACAGTTTGTAAATTCATCACCTTACTTTGGGCAAATGGGAAGACATGGCCTTTTAAAACAGTTCACGAAGTTTTGTAAATATCAATGTATCACATCCACTCTTCTAGAATTTTACATCAAATGGATGTTAGTATTAATTACCATCTACATTTCACCAGAGTAGTCAACATTCACAGGAATTGAGATTGTGATTAGCAGAATAGGTAAGGAACATAAGGAACATATGCATGATGACCAGACAAAGAATGGTTACACTGGTGTCATTCTGAAAACTCAGAAGTCTTAGAAAAACTTTTATTTTTACTTTCTTGAGTTTTAACCATAAATCTTTCTCCCTTCATTGGCTACTAGAAAACGATTCAGTATGTAGCCTGGTCCTAATAAACTATCCTGAGAATCACTCCACTTCATACTTCATTTTTGTCCCAATTCCCTCATTCACATATTTTGAAATGTATGAATTATTTTAAATTGAAAAATTGTAAAATATCTGGAAGACAATTTGAATGATTATAAATAAATGAGAAACAACCTTACAAACTAGTAATGAAAGCTAAGCTCTTTCATGTTATAAATTTTCCTTATTTGACTACAAAATGCTAAAGTTAAAACGCTACGGATTTGGTGCAGTGACTAAAATGTAAAGACTGAGAAGTATTAATACATTATTAAGCCACTTTATATTTCCTAGTTAACAGTAAACAGTAATTGCATCTCAACCTCTGTAAAAAAGAATAGCTTCTGCTTCCCATGTGTTTTATTTATCCTATCTCCCACTTCAAGGAAAAATGCCAATTTTCCACCAGTGGATAAAGTTATTTTTGAAGATTTTAAAGTCCCCATCTTGAACAATGATTCCCTAAAGGACATCTGTGCATGTTGATGCCATGTGTTGGCTACACTTTAAATACAAAGTAATTCATGCAACATGATCCAAAAACTGTACTATAAGGAAAGGTGATCCAGAAGAAACATCATGTATCTTTAAGGTATTTTCAAAACATAATCTTAGATGTATTATCCTGGTATGATTGCATGGTGGGAAATAATATACTTTCATAAAATGAAAGCTTTAATCATATCAAAATTTCCAACTTTAGTTATCTCACTGCTTTTTTATGGTTTCATAATAAAGGACATGTGTTCCATGAAAGCAATTTCCACCACTATATTCTAAATGGAATGATCTTCAGGATTCTTCAAGCACTCAAACATATAACCATTTTGTATAAGTGCTTATTCTATAACTTTACGGACAGAAAGTACTACATGCTACTACAAATTTATGTGAAGACCATATTATACTGTGAGAAAAAGTCTGAGACTCAGACTGAAAATAACTGAAAACAACTTCCTCTAACAGTCTGCTACTACTTACCAAACTGGAAAGTGTTATAAAGCAACCTAAATATTCCCTCTAACTCACAGATTACCAAACCTCAAGTAATACAGAGAAAAGGAAAAACAAATACTCGATTCAGCGGGCAATCTATAATAGCTTCTCAAAGCATTTTGAATTTTCATAAAGGAAGAAAAGCCAGTAAGTGAGTATCCAAATCCTTTGGAGACCTGGTTTGCAGGTAAATTATCAAACGTCTAAATGGTCCATAAAAGTTACCCTTAGATAACTGTACATTTAATTAAAAAATCAGTGTCTTTATATAGAAATAATGATCAATTAAAATTTAATCCCAATAACCACAAGTTAATGGCAACAGGCAAGCACAGAATGATGATGAAAGTAGATCATCCTATAAAAGAAGTACACAATGAGTTCTAGAAATTTCTAATAAACTTTTATTGTTTTACAGATTATATAAATATATAAATATCTATAAAACAGACCAAATTAATGCATTTTATTCTTTGTATTCCATGTCATTTTTGCATACAATTCAAAATATGACCTTGAATTAAAGCCAAGTTAGCTTGTAAAGCACTTTTCAAAGTTCAAATAAGTGCTCCTGGAGTTCTTTTTAAAAAATCTATATCTATCTTTCTCTCTATCACACAGCACTTAATTAAAATAAAGGAAAGGTGGAAACAGGTAAAGGGCATTCAGTTAAGATAGAAATACAGATAGACAATTGTTTTAATCTTCATTCACACAAAGAACTAGAGGGAAATAGAGAAAGAGAAAAGGAGGACAACGTATTAAGAGCTTGGGACTCTCTCATTCAGACTTATACTAAGCTGAAAGTATAATTAGATTTGTACTCCTGAATGATAAGTAATTTATCATCAGGAATGCCTGAACAAACTTGCTGTAACCCTGTATTTATAGGCAATGAATTGCATGTGATGCAGTATTGATCTTTTCATTATTTTCTGATAAGACAAAAATAAATCAGCTGAGATCCTAAGAATTAGAGGTATGCTGAAACTCTTAAAAGAAGGAGAGATGAACAAAAACAGTTCATTTAGGTGTTAGTTTTATGGGAAGTAAAGGAAGTTTGTCTTGTGAATACCTACTATGTGTCAAATTTTTTGCCAGATGCTTTGTTTAAGTACTTTTTAATCTTTACAACCATGTGAAGGTAGTACACTAATGGCTATGTTCCCAGGGTAGACACTGAGTCTCAGAGAAATATACAATTTGTGTGTATCATAATTAAAATATAAAAAAAACTGAGATCTGAATCCATGTTGGCTCCATATTTAGCTTTCTTCTCTAATGTGCAGTTGAAGTGAATGTTTTCCTAGTTGGTATGTGTTTATCTGACATCAAAGAGCTAAATGAAAAATAAAATGTAAGTTACAGTAATTACCCTAAAACACTATGTGACACATATATAAATATACATATATATGTTTATTTTCTCATTCTTGCCTCTCTTAATATTAGCTTATTTAACTGGTTTTATTCAATTAACATTATTTGGCAAAATAGCAAATACTTTTGGAAAACCCATGTCATTGCTTGAAAAACTCATATGAAAAGAATATAAAATAAATGAAGCTTCTACAATAGACCCTCAACAAAGCAAGCAGCAAGTTATGTGTTGCAGATGGTCTTTTGGAAGGACATGATATTTCGTGCTTAAAGAGCTCATACAAACGTCTTAGTTCACTATGAAAATGGCAGTAAACCATGGCAGCCATTTACTAGCAGCATAATCCACGTCCAAGGTTTACAATCCAGAATGACCAATGAAATTCAACAAGAATTAATTACCTGACACGGTGAAGAAGCAGTGAGCAATTTTTTAAGGACAGGACTTTCAAGCTTGGCCACTCCAGGTAACTGATACGCCCCAAAATAAATAAATGAGCCTGCAAAAATAAATGTAATATTATCTGGACATAGGTTGTATATTTAGCATTACTTTGAGTTAGAATCTTATCCTTGCACATATCCAACTGTCAACCAGATAAAGAAAATTACATTTTTACTCACCACTTAGATCCGTAGATAACTGAAAGCTTTTTTTATAGGAATAACATTAAATATTTAAAGTAACATTCAATTGATCAACAGCAAGCTCTTGATCCAAATCATCTAATTATTTTAATTAACTTAAAACACAGCATTAGAAATTAAACTAAATGAGGCTTCTAAGCTTACAATAGATATTCAGTATGCCCATATGAGAGTTTTGTTTACAAGTTTCTTCAAAAAGTACTAAAAGTGACAAGCCTATGCAATGAATTTGGTTTCTCCTGGGGCTTCCATATTTGACAATGTTGTGTGTGCTAGAGGGGATGAAAGTTTAATTAAAGATCTAATCTGAAAATTAACAAAATAACCACTTTTAGATTTTAACTACAGCGGATGTGCTCATGGCAAATATACAGGGGGATAATATCTCCTTAGCAGCTCAAAAGACCATACATTCCGAGCTACTGTCAGGGAGCTGCTTCATTGAATACTGAAAGCTTACGAGAAAGGCAATGCCAAACATGTCAAGATCTGATTCTGCCCTTTCATAATCACAAACTGATGGGCAACTGGAAAGTCAACTGTTCTGATTGAAAAGTACATTCAAACAGTGATTTTTTCTTGATGGACATAGTGTTGACTACAGAGAAAAGATCTCAAAATTGAAATGTATGATATTACAGATTCCTTCACACATTTACACACAACAAATATTAAAGATGAAAGCAGGCCTTTGGTGAAGCATTCACTCATTCTAATGCAATGCTTTGAAAGTTACACCAAAAATATTTGAAGGGCCATAGGGATTAATCTTTTTAGCAACTATAGCTGCAAAAATCATAGACAAGCACTACCATGTACAATAAACCAAACCAAACCAATGAAAGTTGGTTCAGAAATGGCAAGAAATAGCATAATTTTTTAAAAATCAATTTACATTATAAATATTGGTAATCTGGTAATATGATCATCACAATGGGTAGAAGTTTGAGAAATTTTAGCATTTCATTTCATTTTAACATATTTTAGTTTTTAATGTAATGACACGAATAGAAAGGAATGTTGTTTCTGATAGAGGCAACAATTTTTCAGCAAGCATGGCATTTATAATTGAATTACTGACCACTTTTAGCTGTTACTGACAAGTCTAGCAACTATTGCGAGTTCTATTCAATAATTTTGCAGAGGCCTTATCCTATGTGTGACAGAAAATAGAAAATACAGCTATTTTTGTGTATGTGCACGCACACGCGCACATGTGTTTGTGTGATTTGTGGCCTAGAAAGAAGGAAAAATTATAGTACACTTAGAAAACAATTTTAAATTATTTTAAATATAATAAATAAAATTATCAAGACCATTGAATATGATGTTAACATTTTCAAAAAACAACTAAGTTTGCTATGTACCAACAATAACTCCCAAAATGTTGTCAATAGTCACATTTGCAATAGCTATTAAAACTTAGAAAAGTGCTAGCAAAATATTTTTAAGATCTTTACAATGAAAACCGTAAAACAGTTTCAATAAATTGAGAGATTACAAACATCTAAAGAAATATTTTCTATGAAATATAAATAGAAGTTATATGTGAGAAGTGATTTCATAGCCACAAACTGGAAATTTTTTAGGAGAATGATAATGCCTCTTGCTGGTGAGAAACTGGGAAGAAGTACTTCTATTTTGTTGCTAGAAATTAAAGTATGGGGGAAATAATCTATCAATATTTATTAAAAGTATAAATATATATCTTGCTTTAAAAACATAGAAACTTCATTTTTTGTTATCTATTCCATAAAATCAAAATTTTTGCATATTTTGAAATCGGTAAGGAATGAATTCATAAGCTTTATCATAAAATTAATATCACTGAAAAGCAGAATGATAGATACATTCAGGTAAAATCAGATTAAATAAATTAGAGGGACAAAAACAAGATTTAGGCTAATTCTACTTAAAACAAAGTCTATGCCAGACTATATAAGCAAACAAATTCAGAGAAATAGACATTGAACAATGGTTTTTAAACATAGGTTCATAGGCTAGAGATCTCATAAAAAATGGAAACTAATGTATTAAGCCATATCATTTCTCAGTTTACTGTTCAGATAGTTTCCAGGCTACTACATAACAAGAGGAACCCAAGAGGAGTGTTAGGGCCATCCTGAGTTGAAAAGATAGCATTGGTGTAATGGGTGACCCTGGTAGTTGGAATTCATAAGACAAAGTACAGCTATCCTTTTCAGGTTATGATGCTGTATCCTTTTATAACTGCAAAGAGAACAACCCACCATGATCTGCAGAAAGATGCTTTCAATCACTATGAGCATGGGTATGAAAAGACTATCTGTATGGCTGGGAGTGAGGGGGAACTCCTGAAAGAGAAAGCTGGAACATTTCCTAAAAGTCACAAATGGCCAGTGATGGTAGGATTTCTTCATGAACTAAAGTGAGTCATTTATACATAGGCATTGTACAGATCACTCAATCTAAATGAAAATGGGGTCTGGACAAAAATATGTATGGTGTGGTGATTAAGCCTAGTTGTGTCAAACTGATTGTCTTGGGAGCCCCCTAGGGTATTAATAAAGCACACTTCTGGGTATGTCTATATGGGTAAGGAACATAACTTAGTGAACTACATATACTTCCTAGCCCCCTCTTTTCTGGCACTGTTGTCCCAATCTGCCTCTCAGCACCATGAACTAAGCAGCTTTGCTTTCTACCATGATGCTTCTGCCTTCAAGCCAGCCACTCATGGACTGACTCCCCCAAAACCATGAGTCATATGAATTTATCTATCCTCTAACTTGTGGATATCAAATATTGTCTCAGTGACATAAAAACTAATAAATCTGCAAGTTTTATCATGTTTTTATTAATGTTAACCTACATTTATCCTTCAGCTGGTGAGTAGGTAAATGAACCATGGTTTGGCTATATAAAGGAATATTACTCAACAATAAAACAAAAAGGAGACCGCTGTTATACACAGAGAAACTCATTAATCTGTACAATTAATAAGTTCATAATCATAACAAAAATAAATGAAGTCAAGCAGAAAAGAAACTACTGCTGTGATCAATCAAAAGCATAGATGAATCTCAAATCTATTATGCTAATTAAATGAAACCAACTCAATTCTACCCAATATATAATTCACTTACATGCCATTTGGAACATCAGGAATCGAAAGCCAATCAACTATCAGTATCTAGAGGTAGGAGATGTTTTGACCACAAAATAACACAAAGAAGTTAGAGAGACTGGCACTCCCTAAAGTTTTATAACCTGAGCCCTACAAAGATTATACAGTTGTGTATACTTGTCAAAATATGGTGAACTGCCAGGTGTAGTGGAACATGCCTTGTAATTCCAGTACTGAGGCATGAGGACTGCTGTAAGTTCAAGACTAGCCTGGGTTACACAGAGTTTAAGATCAGCCTGAACTGTATAGTGAGACTTTGATGCAAAACAACAACAACAATGATAACAACAAATTGGTCAACTGTACCCTAAAACATGGATTTTGTTACATCTAAATTGTGTTTTGACCTAAAAAAGAAAAAAAGCCTGTACCTGATCACTTGGAGAAATTGCCATGAAAAACCTTTAGTCACAAGATAGAAAAATAAGCCAGGTATGTTGGTACACTCCTAGTACATAACTAGGTATGAGAAAGTAGAAACCAGAGCAAAAAAAAATCAAGACTTCATTTTAATACACACACACACATCATATAATACCAACTTTCATGTAAAATCATATACAGGTATCCATATAAAGAAAAAAATACTGGATGTTAGTTTTTAAAGCTTAACAATGTTGACGCTCTAAGTACAAAATAGATGAGCACTTTATTACCTTAGACTTGGAATCTATCAGACTCTAACGCATTCTCCTAGAAACGTCCATTTCACTCCCTCCTTTCTCTTCTTGATTCTGATTTTTCTCTTCCTCATCTGTGATTTGAAATCATCTGTGATTTGAAACTGATTATCTTAAGATTTTAAAATGATAATCATGAGTAAAAAGGTGCAGACTCTAAGACTCACATATATTTGTATTTATGTACAATTTTTAATTGGTCTTTTCCAAAACAAGAAAGATTGCAATTTGTCCTTCTATCTTTTTTTTTTTTTTTTTGTCTCTTTCTTTTTTATCGGTACCAGGGATCGAACTCAGGACCACACACTTGCAAGGCAGGCGTTTATGCCGCTGAGCTAAATCCCCAGCCTCTGTCCTTCTATCTTTGAATGTGAAAGCTGTCCTTGGTTTTATACTATTACATTTTTATCTTTGAACATTATTTGTGTAAAAGCAAAAGACTAGGCTTTTTAATATTTAACACAGAAGCCACCCTAGAATCCTTTTTGTGGAACAAATCCTAAGACAGCAAAAGTTTGAAAGTGAATTATAAATGTGTTTTCTAAATTGTCATACTTGCAGGTATGCTTAGCATTCCTATAGGAACAGAAAACAATTATACATGAGTTCATATTATATAAAAAATGCAATTTTATTTACTCCTTATAACATCCTACATGCAAGTCCTTTCACTTTCCCCTGTCTTCCAGCTAACAAAACTATTGCAGTTTAAGCAGCATCAACACTCTCCCCTAACTTCGGGAAGTGCACCATCCTCAGGACCAGGTACGGTGTATCACAATGTAGGATATGCGCGGCTTCCTTCTGTGAATAGCTGCCTCAGTTTAGGCCTTCATTATCTCTCACTAGTATTATATCAGGACATCTACATCTTTCCAATTCAGTCTTTAACGTTTCCTTTCCCATCATCTCAGTTAAAATACTGTTTTAGAATGAACATGATTGGTCGCATTCTTTTGTGTCCCTGCGTCTCCATTATCTTCCAGGCAAATTTCAAATACCTCAACACTGTTTCATGTATCCCATACTCCACATTCAACTGTGCAGGTCTCTCACCCGGAACCACCTCCACTGCTCTCATCTCCTTTCAGGATATTCCCTCTAATTAGACCATGCTCCCTGCCACCCCTCCTTGCTTTTGTCATCTCCCTATAATTTCCTACATCTGCATTCTTGGGTACTTTCCATTTCTTTTCAGTGCTTAGCTGAAAAGTCATCTTCAATTTGCCATCTCAAGTGCATATTAATCACCTCCATCCTCTATAACACATTTACCATATTCTATTGTAATTTTTTGCTCATCTGCTACAGCTGCCAGACTCCAGCCACTTCAAAGACAGCGGGACATGGCTTCCACTTCTACATACTCAGGTTTTTCTAGTCTATTCTACATAATCTATACTGGTTTTGAAAAAAAATGAAAAAATCATAAGCTCTTAAAGAAAATTTACTGTTAACATACAGTTCCAATTATTAGTATTCTCCTTCCTGTTTTAAACTTTAAACCTAAGATGCTCTGCCACAAAACATAAAAGCTAAAGTAAGCCTTACTGGAAAAGAAGCAAGGATTTAATTCACTTTAAAAAAAAATAATTGGGTTTGCAGTTGTAGCCAACAGATGGACGGTCAACATCTCCTTTCCTTTTCCTCCTCCACCAGCCCCAATTTCCAATGACTGTAATCAAAACTGTGACCAACATTTATTTTTTGCAAATTTTGGAAGTCTCAAAAGAGAAATAAATAATATGATGCGCAATAAATTTAAAAGAAAATCAATATTACTGTTGTGTGACCACACAGTTAATATGATGCGGATGTATACACGCAATAGTATCTGATGTCATCTAAGTGTATACAAATTGAAAGAGAAAACAAAGCCTTTTTGTTGTTTTTTAGACTTCTATCAACTCTACTTTTGAATACTATGTGCTTCCTCTCTAAGTTATAGTTATGGTTCATCTATATGTTATGATTATGTCTCCTCTCTATGTACAAATTATAATAATAGTTCAGAATGAAGGAAAACTATGATCATTTATTATAAAGAAGTCAAAAGTGTGATTAAATTGTATTTAAGTACTTGAATTTTATAGATGGGACTATATTTCTGTTCTGTATTTCCAAAAAGATTAGATTATTTTTCTATTTGTTTTACAAAAATTGAACTATTTGCAAAGAAGTCAATCTTACTATACTACTTCAAATTATCAGAAAACATATTTTTATTTACATCTACAATCTAATCTTTTCAAATTACAACAGCAATACTGTTGGCTACTAAAACAATACTTCTTTCTGGAAACTCAATTAACAACTAATTTTTAAATTGGTCAGGATAGTTTAAGGCAAGGCAAATCACAATCTATACATGAAAATGAAGATAGTATCATTATTTTAAAACAGGAAAGAAAGCACACTTGACTTTTAGGAGAAAAATATCCTACCACGATTTGTGTTAGCTGTGTGATCAGCTCTGGGAAAATGATGCTGTCCATTGCTCAGTCCTTTCACTAACTCCCAGTGTGAATCTTCTGTAAAAAATGGTTCCCAGCTGCAGAAATCAGACTCAAAGTCACAGGTGACATGATTTGCTGTTCAGATGTAGAAAAGAAAACAAATATGAGAAAATGAAGTCAGAGTATGCAATGGAACACTGACTTTATATAAGCCAGCAAATTTAGGATGGCAGCAATATTACCTGGTTCGTAGAAATTTTTCTGATGATTAGAATAGCTTCTGCTCCTTCAACCTCATAAATTTTCCACATTCTGTGTGAGATGTGGCTTCTACACACTTCTATCAACCAGCTTGGTGCATTTATTCTAAATGACCATCTGCACTGTATTAACAATATCACATAAAATTCTAGTGCTTTTGGTGAGTTACAGATTCACCTGCCAACTATAATCCTGCTGAGATAGTAGATGTTTAAAAATATTTTTAAAAAAAGAACATAAATTGATCCAGGATACCTAAAGAATTTGAGGTCAGCTACTCAGTATTCATTTTATGATTCTACTTTTTTTTTACAACTTATCCAAATTAAATGACTTTCCACTTGATAATTGCAAGTAAATTAGATATTCTGAACTTTGATTTTCTTATTTTATATCACTTAAAGCTTGGAAAGAATTTAAGTTCCTACTTTTATCATGAAACAATTTCTTCTAGGGAGTCAGTGTTTGGGGAAAACATCTTTCCCAGTTTTGATACCAAATTATTGAGAAATTCAGCAGATTTTGAACATCAGGAAATAAACTAGAACTTCTAACAACTTGATTTGTGCTTCCAAGAAATTAGTTTTGATTCTTAAATTTCTTTTTCCTAAAATAATAAACACAGTATCAGCCTCTCTTAGATCCTAATATTGGGAATAAATTAATATAATTAACCTAAAGCCTAATTTTCAAACATCTCTCTTTATGCAGAGGCATTTCTGTAACAGTGCAGAGAAGGGGCTAGATATCTTTGGTCACAGTTTTGGCAAGCACCATAAGATCACAATGCTATCACATATAATGACAATAGATAATTACCCCTGAGTTTCAAGTACATGCCATAAGTAAGTCAATCTCACAAAACAATTAAACAAAAAGCAAGACAATCATAAAGGTTTTTGCTAAAACTTATAAGTATTTAACATATTAAACAGATAAGGTATTTAATAGTTACTACTATGCATTTGATCTTCTTGACTTTAATATTTATTACTTCAACTTAAACCTTTTGATTTACGCAAGGGGAGTATTATCAATGGGAAACCTCAATTTAGGGATCTGAAATTTGGCATATATTTTATAGAGCAGTTAAGTCCTAGAATATCAGTTTCATAGAATCATTGTAAGTGTGCTAGAATAAATGTCACTGGTACAAATAGCTGAGCAATTCCCCCAAGAGTTTTACAGAGGTGACTGGACTATACTGGCTTCACAAATTTTCATGGTAATAGATTTTGAAAGCTAATTTTCAGATTTCACATGGCAGAGTATCTTTAGTGCTTTATAGAAAGTTTAAGGATTAACATTTTACTGATGAAATAGCTAGACAGTGAAGTAGTTTGAACTTTTATCCTAAAACTATATTTCAACATTTATACAATTCATAGTTATTTTCATGTTAACTATCTTGCTTTTAACTTTCTATGATTATAAAATACATTTCATTATCTCTATATGTTATATGACACTGCTTAGAATTTCAACAAAATTTATGTTGGAGTTCATCAGTTAGAGCTATAGTTTCCAGCTATGACAAAGCTTTCTCTTGCATATTTAACCATGGCACTATATGAGCACAAGAAAGACAATTTCACTGTGGCAGCAGAAAAAAATTCTGGATCATCAAAATTAAAATAGTTATGAATCTTCCAATGCAAATATCTGTGATACAGGAAAAACAATATGTGTGGGATGCACATATGGGAAATTTCTTGAGAATATATTAACTTTTAATAAAATTATAAGCATTTTGTTTAAATTTACTGAAAATACAAGTGTCATGACTACACTTCATTTTTAAGCTTATTAATGAATATAGTGGTTACTTTCACTTTAGGATCAGTAATCAACATATTTTTTTAAATTTTAAAAGCCTACTAGAGATGTTATTTTGGTAAAAATTAAAGGCACTGCAGAGAGGCTTGGGGACACATGCTTGTAATCTCGGCACGCAAGAGGCAGAGACAGGAAGATCACTGCAAGTTCAAGGCCATCCTGAACTACTGAGCAAGACACTATCTCAAAATGACAATAACAACAAAAATAGCTAATATATCTGTCAACTTTCATTGTTGCCAGTTGTGTGTGATGAGGACACTTGTAATTCAATGTTAGCAAATTTCAAGTATACAATATTACTAATTGTGGTCACTATTCTGTACATCAGTTCCTCAGAACTCACTCATCTTACTGTCTTTGACAGCACCAAGTACTTAGGCACCTGCAACCATTTCTCTACTGTTTCAATAAGTTGAATTCTTTCAGATCCCACAGTTTAATGTGATCGTGCAGTATCTGTCTTCCTCTGCCTGGCTTATCTCATTTAGCATACTACCTCTGATCATTTTTGTTGCTGCACACAGTATTTTCCTTTCTTTTTATTACAAAACAAAATACACATACGGCTTCCATTTTTAACCCATTCTTCCACTGACAGAGACTTAAACTGCTATCATATCTTGGCTACTATGAATAATGTTGTCATAAACATGAGAAAACTGATCGGTTTGAGTTTTTGCTGGCCCTATTTTATACAGGATTGTGTTAATGAGAGTTTAAAATCCAGCTCTTTGTATTGTCAAGATTCTCCCATGGGATAATGAAGTAATAAGAGTTCTGGCTTCTATGTTGAGAAGCCTCTGAGTAGTTTTTCTTTAGTTTTTATGTCAATTATTTTTTATTTGCCATCTGTTTCTTCCCTCAGATTTCTCATTTCTGAAGCCTCATTGGCACAATAGTTCTCAAAGTTTAACATACAGATGAGTCGCCTGGGACCTTGACATACTTGTTGGACTAGAGCTCAGCTTCTGGTTTTTGAACCAGTTCCCTGATGTTGCTGCTGCTGGAGTCCTCAGAGTCCATGACAGAAGCAAAAGAGCAGCAAACCCCACCAACACTTCACAATTACTCTCTCCAAAAGCCACTGGGTGCTCAGTAACTACACTTATTACAGAGCAATCTGGTTATGAAAGCTTTTGAGTGAAGATAGGTCCCCTTCAGAAACCACAGTGACTAAAGAAGATCAGCTGACAACACTTACACATTAATATTTGCTATGTCCTCTGCATATGATCAGTATTCCTGAAGTTATTCAAACTGCATGTATGAACCATCCTTTCCTAGAGATTCATTCTAAAGTGGGGTGAAAAGATACAAATGTATTTTGCTGTGCTTCATGAATGCGTAAGCTTTCTTTTTTAAAATTAAATAAACCTTTGTAGTACAAATTTGTACTTGTAAAACACAAATTTAAAGGTGAATTTAAAATGTTTTAAACTCTAAAAGCAGTCTCTCCTACTGTAAGAATACATGCATACATCAGTATGTATAAATATATTAAATACTTCGGAGTAGAAAATGGTATAAACGTACAGGAATTTTAATAATTTAATTCAATTTATTTATAAAAATTAATTCTTTATGGAAAAAATCACCATACTAATATTTACATGAAAGCCATTTGGGTATCACTATGTAGCAACCCACCAGAGTATATGGTAACATAGCGGATAGGCTACTGTTTTATACCACGATACTCATTATCAATCAAACAAACAGGACAAGTTTTCACTGGGCATGAGATGCTTGGAAAATTTAAAAAATTGTCGTGTAAGACTATTTTTTGATAAGTACACCTATTTTTCCCTCTCATCCAAAGGAAATAGCCAAATGCATTAATATCAGTTATATTATAAAAATGTCAGATAAGTAAACAATAAAACTTTAATAAAGAAAAAAATGGGGAATTGTGTCCCAAGTCAAGTGCTGAAATATTAAGTAATAGTCAGCAAAACAATTCAGTTAAGAAAATATTAAAATGAGATCAAAACAATCATTTATTTCAGGGAAAAATAGGAAAAAAGAAACTAAGCTTTTAAATATGCAATGAAAAAGAAATACATTTTTCAGGTACTAGAACTAAGTCTAATAGAAGCTGTTAGAAACATGAATTTTCCAAAAAGAAATTATTTACAAATAATTTATATAAACAATAGAAAGGAACTTGATAAACAATAGAGAAAAAAGCATTATAACTTATTTAAAGAATAGAAAGAAATCTGACATACAACAGAGATAAAAGTAAAGCTTTTATCTCTCCACTGAGATCGTATTGTTTAGTAGACTATTTGGCTTAAAGCTAGGAATTTGAGAAATTAACTGAATTACTGTTTACAATCAGACCATCAGGGGATTTCTCCTTGTTTTCTCATTTCCCTCTCCCGGGGTCTGTCTTAATCACTCTTAATAAAATCCAGTTACTCATCAAGAAAAGCGTCTTATACAAAGATCTTTTCATTAAGAAGCCAACATTTATCTTACTGCAATATTTCCTACCACTCAACAAAATTTTCACTATTTTAGCGTTTCATGTTAAAATACAGCAAATCAAATTACAACATTTTAATAGTTTTAAAATCCCCTTATTTGTGATATACAAAATAAAATCATTTAGCTGGAATTTGTGGTTTCTGAAAAGACACAAGAAACTTAATTGCTAAGTTACCTTTTATGAGTACCATCATAGTGATTGTAAATTAAATTTCACTTTCTCTAATATATGAGTAGGTCTAAACAGTAATGGATTTCTTGTCATTCTTCCATCACAGACTCTCCACAAAAGGCTTGAAAGGAAGTATTAGGCTGTTTGCCCTCACGACTGCCAACAGCAGCTGAGCTGACCTATCCACTCATCATGGTTGTACTGGAGGTGATGGCAGCCCTTCTCATCTTCACTCTTTCTCTCTCCATGACTTTAGAGATAATTAGTTAGGTATGGGAGCAAAACCATATATTTAATAAAGGTTAGCAATCCATAATATATGTTGGTAAAAGGAAGGACAAGGAGATTCCCGGTCACCTCCATTCTATTCTGTAACAAAATGCACATACATTTCTTCACACAAACACAACACTAGCACTATTCACTTATGGGAAACATGCAGAGCTTGTGTTTGCAGTCTTAAAGATAAACACAAAAATATTAAAATTGCATGAAAACTAGCAAAGGAATAGTGCTATTCACTCTAGAGTGAAAATATTGATTTACCTTATTTTATAGTAATTAATCACAGAAACAAAGACCATCTTAAATCTGACAGTCACGGAATAAGGCATGTAAGCAAGTAAGCTATCAGTTCACTTACAGCAAGTTAATGGGTCTTCATCACTCGCATCAGAGCAGTCCTGCTGAGAGTCACAGACAGATTCTTGGGCAATACATTGGCCATTGGCACAAGTGAATTCATCCACCGAACAAAGCTGTCTGGAATGGTTCTGTCCACAGGCATAGACCCACAGCTGATCAAGCCCAATAAAACTTCTCTCACTCAGAATAACACCTTCAAAAACAATCTTCAGGGGGAAAAATGATCAATCTATGAATTTGAAATCTCTTTTAATAAAAAAAAACTCTAAAGAAGGATGATAGAGATTAAATAGTAAACTGATTTAACTAACAACCAGGTACAAATGACGACAAAGATCTTATTTGATAAATTCATTCTACTGTCCTGGCACTGATTAATACATTTGTTCCAGTAAAACCTCTGAGAATCCACCCAGGATGAATGGAAATACAGCATCCCACTTAACCATCCAAATGTCCTTAAATACAAACTTGTTACTTGGGATTCATATTCAGAGCTCAATATTTTCATGGACAAGAAAAAGTAATATCATTACTTATACAAGACCTATAATTCAATCTGAGTTTTTCACTACTAACAACTGATAGAAAGTAACCCAGTATAATAACAACAATTTAAAAAGTCAAAGTAGAGGGGCTGGAGATTTAGCTAAGCAGGGTTAAGTGCCTGCCTGGAAAGTGTGAGATAAAAAATACTAAATAAAAGTAGAAAAAAAATCAATTAAGATTTTAGAAAAGAATACTTTTTTTCTAGAGACAATGAAAATGTCAGTTAAAATAAACATGATTTTCTCTAAACATACTGCTAGCTATTCTGGAGGAACACAGTGTTAACAAGTGAAACAAGCTTACGCTGTCAGTCAAATGTAAGATGGTGTCAAAATACTACTATTCCTTAAAGTTCTACCAAGAATAATGATAACCCAAATCAAGTATGCAGAAGGAGAGATAACTGTCTGAATAGTGAATAATTAATTTTCTACTGTCCAATTTAGAAGCTAATAGTTCAATTATAAGTATTCAATTTCAATTAATAAAAATAAAATTAAAATTCAGCTTCTCACTTGCATTAGCTACTTTTCAAATGTTCACAAGCCCCACATTATATTAAACAGCACAGATACCGAAAATTACATTACAGCAGTAAGTTCTATTGAACATCAGTGAATTAAATGTTTAAAAGTTTTAGCAAGATAGTAAGAATAAAGACTGACTCCTCTCTCACTCACCCAGCCTAAATTTTCTGCATAGACTTACGTATGTTCAAAATTTTGATATTTCATTTAAGAATTAAGTTTTTTTACAAATATATCTAAAATTTTACTTAAAAAGATAATATTAATAAGATATCTACAGAGTGCTCCACCCAAAAACAGAATATGAAGTCTTTTCAGCAGCATATAGAACTTTCTCCAAAACAGAACATATACGAGCCAGTAAAATATGCTGCGGTAAATAAAAAGGAATCAAAATTATGCCACGCATAAGAGTTCTTATCAGAAGATAATATGTGTCAGGATAACATTAACCAAACTTATAGGACACAGTGAAGGCAGTGCTACAAGGAAATTTCATATCTGTGAATGCCCATCCCAAACACAAAACCAGAGAAAACCTGGATAAATAACCAAACACCTTATGATCCTAGAAAAGTAATAATGATATAAATTCAAAATCAGTAAAAGAAATGAATGATAAATTTAAGAGTAAGTATCACTGAAATTAGGACTAAAAAAAGCAGTACAAAGAATTGGTACTTCACAAAAATAAAATATACAAACTCTTATCCAATCTTACAAAAAAAGGAAAGAAAATGCAAAAATCAATGCAATCAGAAATAGAAAGGTAAAATCACAATAGACACCACTGAATCCAGAAAATTATTATCAACTTCATTGAAAACCTGTATACCAATAAACTGGATAATTCATAAGAATTGCAAAGATTCCAAACTTTATATGAATTATCAAAGTTGAGCCAAGTACATACAAAAACTCCTAATAATCAAATAATAAATGATAAAATTGAAGCAATAATTAAAATGTCTACCAATTAAGTGGTCTGAATAGGGGGTAAAAGAACTTCAGGGATGATATAACACTAATACTCATCAAGCTGTTTAATCAAACTAAAAGAGAAGGTGTACTTCCAAAGTCTTTCCTGGAAGCTAGCATTAGTCTGATCCTAAAACTGGACAAGGATCCAGCCAAAAAAAGAGAGAGAGAAATAGAGAGAGAGAGACAGACAGACAGAGAGAACAATAGCCCAAAGTCCTTAATGAACATAGATGCAAACATCTTCAACCAAGATACTGGGAAAAAGAACACAAGAAATCATCAGAAAGATCACACATCATGACCAACTAAGCTTCATTCCAAGGATGTAAGGATGGATCAACATATGCAAATTAGTAAATGTAACACATCAGATAAATAGAAGCAAGGACAAAAATCATGTGGTCATCACAAATGACACAGAAATACTTTTTTTCTTTTTGGTACCAGGAATTGAAAACACAACATTGCAATTGCCAGGCAGGTGCTTATGCCACTGAGCTAAATTCCCAGCCCCACTAACAGTCTGAAAAAATCCAACATTCATGATACCAACACTGAAAAAATATGTAAAGAGTAAACACATCTCAATCTGTAAACTCATTCATTGCAAACCTATTGCCAACATCATATTAAATGAGGAAAAAACTGAAAGCTTTCCCTCTAAAGACAGTAATAAGATAAGGATGCCCACCCTCAGTATCCCTGTTCAACATAGTCTTCAAAATATCATCCAAAGCAACCAAACAAGAAAAATACAAAAGGGATATATATGGGAAAGGATGAAGTCAAACTATTATTTGCAGATGACATAACCCTCTCTCTACAGAGAAAACAAAATATTCCACCAAAATAATCCTAAACAAATTCAGCAAACTAGCAGAATGCAAAATCAACACACAAAAATAGTGTTTCTATCCTCTGATAATAAGCTCACTGAGAAAGAAATTAAAAAAACATCACAATAGCATCAATAAAAAATGTGTTTAGAAATTAACCACAGTTATGAAAGACTTTTACAATGAAAACTATAGACCATGGAAAAGAAGACTGAAAAAAAAAAAAGATGTTGGAAAACATAAAGCAGCTGTGCCCTGTTCTTGGATAGGCAAAATCAATATAGTCATGATGACCATACTTCCAGAAGTGGCATACTGGTTCAATGACAAACCAAATCAAAATGCAGCATTCCTCACAGAACTGTAGAAAACAATTCTAAAATTCATAAGAAACCAGAAGAGGCTGAGAATAGCAAAAACAATCCTGGGTGATACGAGCAAAGGAGGTGGCATCACAACCTCAGATCTGAAGATATATTATAAAACTATAGTGCTAAAAAAAGCATGGTACTGGCAAAACATAAACACATAGGTCATTGGAACAAATAGTACAAAATCAAGCTCAGGCACATTCAGTTATTTGATCTTTGACAAAGGCACCAAAATATATACTGGAAGCAAGATGACTTCTTTGACAAATGGTTCTAAGAAGGTTGACACTCAACATGCAGAAGATTGAATCTAGATACTGAACTCTCACTAGGTAGTGAACTAAAATCAAAATGGATCAAAGACCTAAATGTTGAAATGGAAACACTTAATCTGCTGAAAATTAAAGATAAATTCTTAGGTGTCTTACTCCATCCCATTTACCAAGTGACTCGGAAAGCTGCTCATTTTGAGTGTGGCTCAGAACAGGAAAGGGCTCTGCAACAGGTCAAGGCTGTTGTACAGGCTACTCTTCCACTGGTGCCACGTGATCCAACAGGTCCAATGGTACTCAAAGTGTTAGTAACAAATAGAGATGCTGTTTGGAGTCTCTGGCAGGCCCCCATTGGTGAGTTACAGAAGAGGCCTTTAGGATTTTGGAGTAAGGCTCTGCCATCATCTGCAGCCAACTACTCTCCCTTTGAGAAACAGCTGTTGGCCTGCTTCTGGGCCCTAGTGGAAACTGAGTGCTTGACTATGGGACCCAAGGTCACCATGTGACCTGAGTTGCCTATCATGGCCTGGGTATTATCTGACCCACCAAACCATAAAGTTTGATGTGCACAACAACAGTCTATCATTAAATGGAGGTAGTATATTCATGATCCAGCAAGAACAGGCCCAGAAGGCACAGGTAAATTACATGAGGAAGTTGCCCAGATACCTATGGCTCCTATGTCTACTATGTTACCTTTGGCTTCCCAGCATGCGCGTATGGCCTTGTGGAGTATGCCATATGATCAGCTATCAGAGGACGAGGAGGCTAGGGCCTGGCTTATGGATGGCTCTGCACATTATGCAAGCACCACCCACCAGTGGACAGCTGCAGCATTACAGCCCCTTTCTGGGATACCCTTAAAAGATAGTGGTGAAGGGAAATTGTCAGTGGGCATTAAGCAGTGCGTTTGGTAGTACATTTTGCCTGGAAGAAGAAATGACCAGAAGTGACACTGTATACTGATTTATGGGCTATAGCCAATAGTCTAGCTGGATGGTCAGGAACTTGGAGGAATATAATTGGAAAACTGGTGACAAAGATATTTGGGAAAGAGGTATGTGGATAGATCTCACTGTGTGGACAAAAGATGTAAAAACATTTGTTTCCCATTAAATGCTCACCGAAGGTAACATCATCAGAAGACGACTTTAATAATCAAGTGGATAAGATGACTCGTTCTCTAGACAGAGGCCAATCTCCTTCTTCAGGCATTTCAGTCATCGCCCAATGGGCCCATGAACAGAGTGGCCATGGTGGCAAGGATGGAGGGTATGCACGGCCCAGCAACATGGACTCACACTCACCAAGGCTGATCTGGCTACGGCGACTGCTGACTGTGTGGTATACCAGCAGCAAAAGCCAACACTGAGTCCCCGATATGGCAGCATTCCCCGGGGTGATCAACCTCCAACTTGGTGACAGGACCACTTCCATCCTGGAAGGGACTGTGCTTTGTCCTCACTGGCATAGATATGTATTCTCGATATGGCTTTGCCTTTGCTGCACATCATGCTTCTGCTAAAACTACCATACATGGACTCCCAGAATGCCTTATCCACCATCATGGAATTCCACATAGCATTGCCTCTGACCAATGAACACATTTTACAGCTAAAGAAGTGAGGCAGTGGGCTCATGCTCTTGGAATTCACTGGTCCTACCATGTCCCTCACCATCTAGAAGAGCTGGATTGATAGAAACATGGAATGGCCTTTTGAAGACACAGTTATAATGCCAGCTAGGTGGCAACAGTTTGTAAGGCTGGGATAAGATACTTCAACAGGCTGTATATGTTTTAAATCAATGACCATTATATGGTACTGTGTCTCTCATAGCCAGGATTCATGGGTCCAGGAATCAAGGGGTAGAAGTAGGAATGGTACCACTCACCATTAATCCTAGTCCACTAGCAAAATTTTTGCTTCCTATCCCCATGACTTCATGTTCTGCTGGTCTAGAAGTTTTGGTTCCAGAGAGGGAAGGCTTATACCACGAAGCATGACAATGGTACCATTGAACTGGAAGCTAAGACTTCCCCCTGGTCATTTTGGTCTCCTCATACTTCTAAGGAAACAAGCTAAAAATGGAGTCACAGTGCTTTCAGGAGTGACTGACCCAGACTACGAAGGGGAAGTTGGACTCCTACTCCACAATGGAGGAAAAGAATATACTTGGAGTGCAGGAGATTCCTTAGGGTGCCTTTTAGTACTACCATGCCCTGTCATTAAGGTCATTGGAAAATTACAGTAACCTAGTCCAGACAAAGTGACAAGTGGTCCAGAACCTTCAAGAATGAAGGTATGGGTCACTCCACCAAGAAAAGAACCAAAACCTGCTGAGGTGCTTACTGAAGGCCAAAGGAATATAGAATGGGTAGTGGAAGAAGGAAGTTCTAAATACCAGCTATGACCCTGTGATCAGTTACAGAAAAGAGGATTATAATTACTATTTCTTCCCAAATATGGTTTTAATATAGCATAATGTTAGACTTAATGCTGTTTTTTTTTGAGAACTGTTAAAGTTGTTATAATGTTAAAGTTATAAATTCATAGGAGTAAGTATCAACCAAAGAAAAGTTACATCGTGTATTATGGTAGGGGAAGTAGTGCATTTCCCTTTGTACAAAGGACAGTTATAACATGTTAGGTGCAATTGTATGTATGTCTGTGTATTTGGAACTAATTTAAAGAAATGTGTCTGGTTGCCAAGTTGACATGGGGTGGATTTTAGTGGTTGGTTGTGTGAACTTGAGACATTTAGAAGCTTAACAAATGAGTTTAGGAACTCTACATCCCAAGATGTAGAAGACCCACCCTAGGGTGGCTCATCACCTGGAGGTATAAAAGGGAAGGAGGAGGACAAATGCATTCCATTCCTCAGAGAAGCACCAGTCTTCACGTTTGGTTTGGACCTTGTCTCCTTGTTTCTAGTGTAGACTTTTCAGCCTTTCATCATAGAGCCTTCTGCCCTCTGTCCCAGACCCATCAGCCTGCTGGTGTGGACTTGCACAAGACACTAGGGTGAACTCCAGACCGTGGATTGAATCCTCCGGCCTCCAGTGTGTAGACACCCTCTGCCTGCTTCTTCATCTGACTCTGCGGCTGACCATCATAAGCCAATCTTGTCATTTCTTATATATTTGTATATCTTGTGTTATTTCTGTTTTCTCTAGTTAAAACCCTGACCAATACAGAGGACTAATATCTAGAAAATATATACATGAAGAATTAAAAAACTAGACCCTCCCAAAATAAAAGACAATACAAAAAATGAGCAACTGAAGTGAAAAGGTACTTCTTAGAAAAATTACAAATGATCAATAAATATATGACTTGGTCATTAAATGAGTGCAAAATAAACCACACTAAAACACTATTTACTCCAAAAAGAATGGCTATTATACAAAAATTAAATAATAACACATGCTAGTGAAGCTTCAGGAAAGAAAAACCTTCCACATTGTCTCTGGGAAGGATCTAGTACAAGTATTATGAAAGTCAGCATGGAGACTCCTCGAAAGATAGGAAATCAAGAAATTCCATTTGATTTAGTTATTCCCCTTCTAGGCACCTTCCCAAAGAGATAAAAACATCATAGTACAGTTATACGTGCATATATACATGTTTACAGTAGCACAACTCATGATAGCCAAATCCTGGAAGCAGTCTACATGCCATCAGCAGATGAATAAAGCAAATACAGTATTTATACACAATGAAATACTGATGTTCTACTAAAGAAGGTAAACTTGAATCATTTGTAGGAAAATAGATGCAACTTGAGACCATAATGTTAAGTGATATTAATCAGTCACACAATCATAAATGTCACATGGTTTCTCCATATGAGAAACACAAAATATAGAGCCAAATAAAGGATAGATAATAAGAAATAGCGAGTTAGATATTTCTCATATGGAATGGTGATTAAGAGACAAAAGGATGGAAAAGTGAAGAGATAAAAGAGTTTATAAAAGAATTAAAATGTGTCATGTACATGTATAAAATGCCCATAAGCAAGGTAATCATTATGTATTGGAAAAATGTACTAATAAAAAATAAAAACTATAAAAAGAAGATGATACTAAGTTTAAATCATGTCTAATCATAAGAACACTTTATATACTGCTATTTAGTTTTCCCATAAGCAATATCTTCTACTTGAAAATTATTGGACTGATAACTACATATATTTGTAACAGTAAGGAGTGAAATATGCAGAAATAGTAATCATTTTTGGTTTCAAAAATTGGTGAGTTTAACTTAGACCTTAAAAGTCTGTCATCATGGAAAAATTAATTGCATTTCATATGCATTTAGAAACCAATAATAAATCCCAAATTTACACTGTACATTTTATTTTCTCTTTGAGTCAAATAACAAGACAAACCTTAATATTCAGTTTGGGTAAACAGAAAGACCCATTGAGTATTCCTTTCAGAGATTAAAAAGCTGAGTGCCGACTTATAAGTAAATTAATGTGATTTAAACTTCAAATTTGCTACAAAATTTCTATGGCTCATGATTTCAAGCTTACAAATTGGGTAAAAACCTTGAAGACATAAGGGTAGGTAGAGAATTCATGAACAGGAATCAAACCGCACAGGAAATACTTCCCAGAATCAATAACTGGGATCACATCTTATTAAAAAGTTTCTGCACATCAAAAGAAATCTCTAGCATAGTGAAAACAAAACCCACAAACTGGGAAAAAATGTTAGTGAACTATCCTTCAGACAAAAGACTTCTGTCTAAAACGTATAAAGAATTTTAAAAAAATCAGACCCCTAAAATTCAAAGATCCAATCCAAAAATGGGCACCTGAGATGAATACACATTTCTCAGATGAAGAAATACAAATGGCAAATAAATAAATGAAAAAATGTTCATCATCATTACTCATTAGAGAAATGCAAATTAAAAACCATGCCGAGATTCCATCTCACTCCTGAAAGACTCGCCTGGATCAAAAAAAGAGAAAACTAACAACAATAAATGCTGGAGAGGCTGTGGGGAAAAAGGAACACTCCTGCACTGTTGGTAGGAGTGTAGACTGGTGCAACCACTATGTAGATCAGTCTGGAGATTCCTCAAAAATCTGGAATTGGAATTCCCATTTGATCCAGCTATTCCACTTCTAGGCATATTCCCAGAAGAACTGAAAACATTATACCACAATGATATATGTGCACCCATGTATATAGCAGCACAATTTGTAATAGCCAGATCTTGCAAGCAACCTAAGTGTCAATCAACTGAGGAATGGATAAAAAAGATGTATTTTTATACAATGGGGTACTACTCAGCTATAAAGAATGATCATCATGAGATATTTATCAATAAATGGATGCAGCCTGAGACCACACTCATAAGCAAAATAAATCAAACTCACATGTATAAATACCGTATAGTCTCCCTAGAGTATGTAATGGTAAGAATACATAGAAGTGTATGGTAATCATGACTCCTCATGATATTTCTTTGAAGCCTTATAATGTTTACATTCATTAGTTGGAATGGTTTTATTATGAGTTGTTTGATTTTATTGTCTGGGATGGTATGAGCAGCTATTTTGAAGAAAAAAAGACATTATAATATCTAGTGCTGATTTAATATCATCTCATTTTGAAGTCCTACCATGCTTTTGTTCTTCTGTCTCCATCGGTTTTATCATGTTGTATCTTATTGGATTCTATTATGTGTGACAGTATAAACAAACTTTCTTATGGATAAGAAGATAATATAGTAGCCATTGTTCGTTTTCTGTTAGTTGGTTCTGAATATCCTGTAATACTTTCATTCTCTTGAATGGTTTTATACTATTTTGTTATGTTTGATACTATAGTGTATGAAGGTATACTCAAATATTTCACTATGGAAAGAGACACTATGGTATCTACTGTTATGTTGGGTTGTCTTGTGAAACACTATGTTGCTTTAATTGTTCTGATCTGTTTTGTTATGTCCTCTTTTATCTTAATATTTTTAAAATAAAAAAAAAATTTTTAAAAAGATTTCAAGCTTACAAGTCTATGGAATATTAAAGGTCTACATATCACTGTTTTGACAATTTTTCCCTTTAACACCTGGAAAATGTATGAATTCTAAGCTAAAGGAATGAAACTTGTGTCATAAGCCATCCATAAAGCCAGTCCCTTTTGAAACTCACACCCAAGCATAAACAGACTTATATGCTATATAAAACATGAAACCTCAAGTTAATATTTTAAAAGACAGCATTCCTTGAGTTTCTCTGGGTTTATATATGTTTCAAATGCATCTTGTTATAGATACACTTACCCAAGTATTATAAAAGCATGAATCAGTGCATTCATAATATTTACATATCTATTTCATGGATTTTCAACATCATATTCACAATAGATGTTACATCTCTTGTTTAAGGCAAGGGTCTTGAATTGCTACACAAAAATGCACAGAGAAAGAGATAGCTTTGATCAAGAGTAGACACACTGGTCTCTCCACTCATGGGAAGTTTGGTGTGCTAAGGGCCATGTGTAGGTAATTATTACTCTCCGCAGACATATAAATCTATATTAATTTATATGCAAGTTTAAATTTAGTAGTTGATGATAAATTCACTACTTCAAAACTAAAATTTAAACTTACGATTAAAAATACTTTATTTCCTTTTATACCTTAAATGCCTTCAGACCTTCTGGTATTAACACATCTGCTTTCACCCATCTGCTCTGAGTTGATGTATTGTACGTCCAAAATATTTCTTCTTCCTTTGATTTGGAGAAAAAGACATTCTTATTTCACTCTGATATATATATATATATACACATACATATATATATATACATACATATATATATATACACATTAGTTATATGCTTTCTTAATTAAATTTTATTAGGAAGTTATACATATATATTTGTGATTAAATATTAAGAAATGTAAAGTACTGGAGCTAAGAAATATAATCTGACTAAAGGAATAATAAATAATGTGTTTTCATAATAAACCTGATTTTTAAAATGCTGATTTTTATTAATTCATATTAAATGAACATAAGTGAGATTCAGTGTGATATTTCCATTTATGCATATAGTGTGCACTGATCACATTCAACAACCATTTTTCCGTTTTTTCATGGATAAAGACTATTAGGACAGAACAAAAAGTCTGAGTAGATTTTTAAAAGACATGTAACACTGCTTCAAAAATAAAATTCTAAATAGCAACTGATAATATCAGAAGTTTAAATTAATTTCAATTACATTATGACATTTTGTAATTTTGCTATGATTCTATAAAGGAAAGAAATAACAGGCAAACATTTAATATATATTTGAAAAAATGTTAGAAGCACTTCCTGTACCAACTCAATACTATTATTCTCTATGGACCAATTTATTTCAGGTGCCACACCATTACTGCTCCATGTAATACTTTTACTGTTCTGGTCATTCTATATAAGGCCTTTTTAGCTCTCTCAGAGCAAACTATGTCACATAACTGTACAATGACCCATTGCTAATTTCTAAAATATATAAAATTGTTATTATACGCTATGCAGTAAGACTTTTTTAAATTCTGTGATAAACTCCATAACTGTGTTTATAGTATCAGTGTTTATGATTTATGGCCATGATTTTATGCTCTGAGATAATCCATTTTTTCTTTAGATTTTAGCAAACTTTCAAGTTAATTTCACATTTCCCTTGGAAAGATAGAGCAGAGTTTTCATGGTATAGGATATATTTATTTTACATGTATCAATATTGTGAAAATCTAGAAAATGCCATAAATGTCACAGGTCGAGTACTGAGACTGGCCTTGCTTGCCTTTTAGTATGAGACAAGAAAACAAGGGAAGGAAACATCTAGTTGTAATTCTAATGACTCGTGACCAAAATTTTTCACTCAAGTAAGCATTTATCTCCTCAGCGAACACCATTATTTTATTCATATTCAAGATTTTCTAAAAACAAATTCATTTCCAACTTAGTTCTCTATTCTCTGATTTCTACTCTGCATTTTCAAAACTTAAATATTTTGGTAAGTAACCTAAATCCATAAAAATATACTTCATGTCAGTACTCATTCACATCAACTAGTAAACTTCCACAACACAAAACCCGTGAGATGAACGTATTTTTAGCTGATAGTTTCTGTGCTACAGCAAGATGCACTAGTTATAAAAGTTGAACTGTACAACAAATTCTTCCAATTATCTCCTACACATTCTCATTACCTTAGCACTGAGACATTTAAACCTTCCATAAATGCTTTTAGTGAGGCTGTGCTTGGCATGTTGCATTTATTACATCTCCCATTGTTCACTTTATGAGAAAAATTTACAGCAATGGTGTTTTTGTTTTCCACAACTAAGTAACTGATTTCTCAGAGTTTTATCTGAAGGAAATATTTACAGTTTTTCATAAAGGGAGCAAGATTCTTCTCAAACTTGTGGGTTTTCATATATTAATTTCTTATACTGGGACACATGACAGACCCATACAATTTGGTAGAGACCTCCTTTCAAGAAAACCTTGTTGTAGCTTTAAAAGCCAAATCATACAAAAATATTCTATAGGATATTTCCTTCCTAAACTTTACATTCATTCTATTTTTCACTGGAAATTTAGAAAACATATAAATGTTATCTCAAACAAATCACACTAGATCCATAATTCACTGGCATGGAACTTTTCAAGATAAAAGTAGACTTCTGTAATTATTATTATGCTACAGGTGATAGAGATCTATTCCAGAATAGTTAGACAGTACAAGCCAGAAGTGTGGCATGCTTAAAAGCAGAGTTTATTTAAAAACCTGTCTTCACATGTATTTCCTATTTCTCCAATTCTAATGTCCTCTAGAAGTAACCCAACTACTATCATTAAATATGAAAATGCTCAAATTGGTGGACAGCATTCTATTTACAGAAGACACAAATGATTTTTCATTATAGATATTTTTTCAATGATACGTTCAGAGTCCTTTTTAAAAGTGCATGATAAAGCATCAACTTTTTTATTAAACATCCTTTGATGCAGATTTTTCAGCAGTGATCATCATGGTACATGTATACAGGTGACAAATAAATATATCAGAAAAAACAGGATGTCTTGCAGAATACAAGGTGCAAAAATAGGGTTCAACATCAGTCAATACTCTTTAATCTGTGCACCTCATTGGTTCTAGTTAATACTCTAGATTAGTTCTGCCGATTTTGTTCCTTATGATGCAGGACATGAACACTTGATTATTAGATCATATGGTATCCAAAGACAAATTATTTTCATTCTTTTCTTGTAGAACTCTAAAGCCACCAGAAGAATGATACTATAGATTTTCAGTCAATCATAACTCTATTATACATATTAAAGTTGCTAAAATCCACCATTTATGTTCAAATTATATTAAAGTAATTCTTGAGGGTAGAATAAATTCGACAAAGTTCTAATTGAATTTAGGTTCTTCATGGGCATAAATGAACCTAAATTAATTGTGTGCCATGTGAATAATACTATGGTCTTATTGTTTAAGTGGCTTCAGATACGATTTAAATGCTATAAAATTTGCACAGAATTTGCCTTTCTGTGCCATTACTTAAGGAGGAAACTGGAAATTACAGAAGGTTGCAGATTACCTGGCATCTCACTGGACCTCATTTATACAGGACAGGGTGTGGATCTAAAGGCAATAACCAAAACATTTGTTGGGACATGAATGATATTTGAATAAATTTAGTGTTTGATTTTTAATTTTGAGGGGATTTTGTTTGTCTTTTACAGAACTGCTTCCATTTATAGAAAGTTCTGTTGTGGTTCAGAAAAAGTATGGAAACATTCTCCCTCTGTCTCATGTAACTTTACCCATGTAGCTTTACCAAACTAAATGAAATAGATCCAACAAACTAGACCAATTGGCTACAAACTATCACTGCCAAAAGTCACAAAAGTGTAACACAGTTACAGAATGCTAAACATTGTGTCTCATCCTAGCAACAAAGAAGGATGTATTATGATTTCTAGTTAGAATATCAGTTTAAATGTATGACCTAGATTCTTCATCTCCAATGGGAAGAGGTAGAAGAAAGAAGAATATGATGAAACTGGTAGAAAAAGCAAAGAAATAGGGTTGGGGGAGATTCTTCCTAAATACTGAAATGTCTTGGTGATGAGCATCTAAAGTTTGAGGGATATGACAAAATGCCAGCATGCAAAAGAAAACAGGCCAGAAGAAAATGCTCTTGGCAGTTTACTCATGGCACCAAATAAGTATAGGTGATCAACTCTGTTGAAATAGTAAATGTGGTTCATGTCATGCAAAAGTTTTAACTGCATTTACTGAAAGCATCCTGAGACATAGGAAGTTCAACTGGATGCTTTTACTGTCTTCCTTTCTTCCAAAGTGAAAATTCCTGAAATTATTGCCAAATGCCTCCAATTGCTAGAATGACTGCTATTTACCCCTGCAGTTGTTTTATTTCCATCTATAAATAATTTTTTCACTGCAATAGAGATTGTCAAAGTGTCTCATGCACTCCCCTTCTTGTAGAGAACTGCTTTTAGGCCTGAATGTGTTTGATTCACTGGCATAATCATTACAACTTTCTTTCTACCAGGTGTGTCTTTTTTCATTTCAGAGGACACACTGTCCATATTTGATCAGTAATTACCAGTCTTTAAGTGTATCTACTTGTACCAAAACAAATAACTGACATCAATATTTATAGTTTCAGTGATTTATGGATCTAAAATCCAAACAGATCACATCAGAGTATCAACATCGTGCTAACAAACCAAAATTTTAGATATTTCACTTGAGTGAGAACTATAATTTCTTATTAATGGCTTCATGGAGTTTCACAACTTCATGAAATGATATCATGCAAATTAGCATTTCAATTTTGGTGCATGATATTTCTTCTTTTTGTACACTGACCTCTTAATAATTCTTTTAAAAAGTGTACTGAATAATGCTAAGCTGCAAAAGGCCTAAGGTTTAAATATAACTGAGAAACAGAAACACAAGTTGTCAAGAATAGAAAGTTCACGTACTGGATTAATTTGAAATGTTACTTCTTCTTACCTCATTATTATATAGTCCCACTCTTAGAATACTGCTTTCCATGGAGTAATAGAATTGAAGACGGCATTGCCTGCCCATGCAATGACACACAGAGCTGTTTAAATAAGCACTGCTGTCCACTTGGCTCAGAGCAAAGGGATGCTTTGCCCCAAACCATACATACTGGCCTAAAGAACAAAAGGAAAGAGACAATTAACTGCTTTCTGCCTGAACAAAACTACTATTGTTCTAAAATTCTTAACGCAGGGATTAGGAAAAATAGTTTATTTAAAAGAATATGATATTTAAAATGATTGTATTAGCTATACATGATAGGTTTTTATTTTTATATTTGACTTTTAAAACATATTGTAATTTTTCTCCATTGCTAAAGTCGAAGTTCAATGGCATCTTCAATATTGAAACTTAATATTCTTAGCAAATAAATCTATATTACAAAATTTCATACACATTAGATTATTACAGTTTTCTTTTATGTTATAATGCATTATTTTTAATCACGAATTCTTTTTCCCTGGAATATTTGCCTTTTTAATTATTCTTCTACATTCATATAAAATGTTATACATCAAGGCAATGTTTTCCTTTGTCATCAAATGATATGAAAGTATAAAGTGTATATAGTCCCATCAAGCTTCACCAATAAATTTTATAGTATATAAAAATAATTTTGATTCATTTTCTCATCTGATATTTAAAATCTAATTGGACTATTCTTGATGTAAAAAGAGTTTTCTATGATCTATTTGTCACAAAGTTTGAAATAATTCATTTCTTTATATGCATTAGCAAATATTCCCACACTTCTAAAATCTACAAATTTAAACTAAGTGAAATTTATTTCCTAAAAAGTAAGGCTTTAACCAAATTAGCAGAGTGTAACTTAATATTTTGTCTTTGATTTAAATGCAAAGATATTACCAAAAATCATTTTTAGGAAAACAAGTGCAATTAAAATAAAAATATTTCAAAAGATGAAGAAAGAACAGGTATGTCCAACACGAACAAAACAGAAACCACAGAATTCTTGGACTATGTGACTAGAAGCAAGCTATCTCAGTTTGGATTTTGACTGATTCAAGCATAACAAAAGAGGTAAGAAAACTGAGTTGAACCAGAATGAAGCAAAGAAACCTGCTCATGAAACACTGCTGAATTCTAGCTAAGCTACTGTGCAAAAGTACAAGAATGATCAATGCGTAGGAATACCTAAACTAGTACTGTTGCCCACAGATGGTCCTGGGGAGATAAATAATGCGAGAACAAAATTACTAAACAAAAAGGGTTGAAAACAAACAAAGAGCAGGAAAGAAAGAAAAGATAGAGAAAGAGTACAAATCTCAATGAAAAGACCTACAAAATTTCCAGTTGTGGACCACATGCAAGGAAGTTGGAAGCTGCCACTCTTAACCACTTGAAAAGAATAAACAAGAGTCACCACCTCTTCACATTGACCTGAAGAAATCAAAGTCACTAATGTACAGATTTCACAGAAAACTAAGAACAGCATGCAATCCACCGCACTTAGGTTAGAAGAACAGAGGCAAAGAGACTCACAACTTAGTAGAGCAAATCACAAGAGTACAGAGCCCTGGAAGAACCAGTACTCAGAGGAAAAATTAAGCTGATCTTAGTGTGGATGAATCTAAAAATTCTAGGACAGAACGGAACAAGAAATTAGTAAGACCGAGCCTGTTGGAGACCACTACAAAGCTGCTCTGAGCAGGACTTGAATTTCACTAATTGGCTTCCTATGTTTATCTGTGAGTGTGTCCTAGGCCTAAGCCCCTTGCCTGGCAACGGGAGCTAATTCATAGTAAGTGAACCGCTGTAAATCACTGTTCCTGGCTGAGGCCTGTAGTGGCCTGTGAGGCCAGAGATACCTCAAAGGGCAAGATAAGGCCACAGATGCAGACACTCTGACTCTAACCCCAATTAACAAGGTAGAGACTGCAGCTGCAAAGATTACTCCTACAGTCTCACTTCTACCATGTCTTCATGATAAGACAGTGCTACTAAATTAACCTGATTCATGACTTGGAGATGACCTTAAAGTGACTCCCAAGGTCCTGCTCATTGCCTGTGCTTTCCTCAGTCTCTCCACCCTTTGTCCTTGGTCCTAATATAAGTGGACTGATCAAGAGAAGCTGTTGTCTTAACCCTCAAAGTCTCGAGCTTATTCAAAGGGTTTTGACCCTCCTGGAGCCCTAAAAATCATACAATTTGTCTCTTTTTATTTAACCTCCACCACACACTCATTTGGGAGATCGAGGATCGAGGTCAGAACTCGATACAAGCCCTCCCTGCAAACTGTGCCATACATGGGCCACTGTGTGGACAGCCAGATGCCAGCCTTTTCCTATGAGTCAGCACCATTCATAGACTGTGGAAGAAGAGAATAAGAAGTCACCAAGAAGCAAGCCCTCCCTGTGAATCAGTGCCATGCCTGGGCTGCTGGGGAGAGAGCCAGATGTCAGCCCCTTCTGGTGCATGGTCTAGGAAACAAGAAAAGCCAGCCTCACACGCACCCCACCCCTACTGTAAGCAACCTGCTGATCTAGAAAAACAAAGGCTATGATGATAGCTATTTAGGCAAGACACAATTTAATGCTTTGTAGTGTTTAGTGTTTCACTGCCATTGCAGGTTTAAAGCCAGTAGTTGGATCATCTATTCAGGATAACAATACGCAATGTAGCATCTATGGGGATTTCCTTCTGAAGGTGGTAGCTATTGTTAATTAATTCCCTCTCATCTTGTTTTGAAGTCTTGTATCATTTTCTTCACTTTGTTGGGCTGGGTGTTCTCTGTTTTGTTTTGTTTGATTTTATGATATCTGATAACATGGGATGCACTACTATCTTGTATGGAAGTCCTTTATTGCATTCATTGTTTTGTTTTAATTCATTCTGTTTTGTTCTGTTTTGTTTGATTTTACTATGTCTGAAGGTACAGGTAGCTATTTTGCAAACAACAAGAAGCATTACGGTAAGCATTGTTGATTTACAATTGTTTTGAAGTCCTGTATCACTTATACTGGTTTGGTTTGAGTGGCTTTATTCTGTTTTATTTTGTTTGATTTTATTCTTTTTTTAAAATAAAAGTAATAATAATAATAATAAATACTGTAGTACAGTGATGGTGAATCTTTTAGATCTTCCGGTGACACAAACAACCTACAGGGGTACATGTGCCACAGGTTCTCTACCTAATTAATCGTAAGTGGAAAACACACTCTCTGAGTACTATATCTGGGAATCCTAAAAAGTTCTCACAGTGAAAATTAGAGAAAAATTCCTGTGTTTGCAAACAAGAAAGAGGAAAGGTAGCTATTTTGGGGGGGAAAAAAAGCTGGACTCTTTTGTCCTTAACATGGCCTGTATGCATGAAAAAAAAAAAAAGAAAAAAAAGAAACACTTTGTCACAACCTAAATCACTAGGGTTGCAACACAGTCTGACAAGTAAAAATTCTGCTCTGTTCAAGTGGAGCCTTCCCCATTGAGGGAGGAAAAAACCTAAAGGCCTCCCTTTCCTGCCCAGCCTTCATGTCTCACTAAGATGAGGGATGGGATATTAATAAACTCTTTGAAGGTCACAGAACAGAGGGCCAGGCTCACTAAAAGACTGAGACTTCATTACAGGATTATAAAATGTTTTCCCTGGTTTCATAACTTGCTACCACATCAACAGAGCTCCTAAGTAATAGAGGGAGATACATACTGAAAGAGCTACTTGGCTCAGATCCTATTTAAGAAGTCTCTAGGGGAACTCAAGGACAACCATGGAGACAAAAACAAGGACACTGCATACTACTTAGCCTCAGATATTTCCACTGTAGCAAAAAAGTAAACAGGTCAACCCTTAGCCAATTCATGTGCATAACAGCTCACACTCTTGATCTTAATGCTTTTGTACAAAAAGTCATGCTTTTTATAAATGTGGCTTCTGAGAGAAAAAAATTACAATGCATAGTGAAAGGCAAGACAAAAGAAAAAAAAAAAAGAAGAAACATCAGAACTAGACTCAAAATTTTGATGAAGAGAGAAAATTGAAATTTTAATTCAAAGCCTGTCTAGGATGCCCGAGAAGCCCAAGCAGACACGTTTAGCAGGCCCAATTACAGAACATCTTTTCCTTTGTGTAAATCCCTGTCTTTGCTGCCCTTGTGTAATCGATGGCCTTACAATGTAATTTAAAGTGTAACAGAACATTTCTTCCTTGTATAACCCATGCATTGCATAACTGACAGCCTTACGATGTAACCTGAAATGTCGTAACTATGATGTCACCCAACCCTCCATTCTTATTACCAAATCTGCCTTTGTGCATCCCCTATTACTTTCCCTTTAAAAGTCCTGAATCCTCTCTGGATGGGGCGATGGTTCTTTAGGAGAGATCCTAATCAGAAGCCTACCAGTGTCATAAACTGACCCCTTAACTTTCTCGGTGCAATTTGTTCCTGTTTTTGGTCTGTTTTCTGTAACACTGGAAGATCAGACAGAGAATTTAAAACAGCTATGATTACTAGGTCCAATCAAAAAGTGTAGGTAAATTATGTAGGCAGAAAAGTAAAAATTCTAAGAATTTTTGATCTCTAAAACTTTAGAGATCAAAAACAGTAAAACAAATCAAGAATGTATCTGTGGGCTCATTAGTAAACTAGACACAGTTAGAAAACTCTTTGAGGATGTTTAAATGGTATTCCCAAAGCTGAAATGCAGAAAAAAAATGGTGGGGCAAAAAGAAAGATAGTATCTATGAATTGTGGAAGACATACAAAACATTTCATGTATATGAAATGTGTGTATGAGGAAAATATAGAAAAATAAACAAAGATAATATTGGAAAGAAGAATATGAGAACTTCAAATGTCAGAAACCAAATCACAGATTCAGGAAACTTAGGGAAAAAATAAAACTAAGAACAAATATTAAAAACAAAAACAACTGCATTTGATGTATAATGTTCAAACTGCATAAAATCAAAGAAAAATAAAATATCTTGATAGAAACCAGAGGGGAAAAGTCTTAACCTATAAAGGAGAAGAAAATTAAATTTACATCTGACAAACCATATAATCAAGGAAAGAATGAAATGAAACATTTAGGGTTAAGGCCTCCTCCCATCAAAATTCAACAGCCAGGAAACCTGCATCCTGGAAACTGTCTTGCTACGTTAAAGAAAACTAAAATACTTTATAAAGTTGAAGAAATTCTTTCCATTAGACCTTCTTTGCACCAAGAAATGAAGGTTATCAGAGGGAAGAAAAATAATATAGATTAAAAAGCTGGATGCACATAAAGAAAAAAAATGAGCGTTAGAAAAGCAATAGAATAAAACAAAATTTTCTTATTTTGATTGATCCCTTAACAGTTTATTAAGCAACAAATACTTCATTATTATAGTTTATAACAAATGAAATGATGGCAACAACAACACAAGGGCAAATAGAGTAATTAGAAATATTTTGTCATTGTAAGCACCACCGCACTGTGCCACCATAAACAAGTATAAAATGTAAATACCCACTAAAATGTAACCTAGAATAAACCCAGTCAAAGAGAAAATTTGTGTTTCAGGAAATAGCACCAAGAATATGATATAAAACAGAGTAAATCATACAGAAAGTTAAAACAGCTGTCAGAGTTCGTAGTATAAAGTGATTCAAAAGATATAAAAAGGAAATAGAACAGAATTGCTTGAATAACATAATTTTCACAGGTCATAAAATGTATGCATTCTGAGGACTTCAAAAACAAACAAATATATTCATACCCATACTCACCATACCAAAATTTGTATTATCAAAAATAAACAATTTTCTAAATTTTTCATTAAATTCATAAAAATATTAAATGAACTCAGACTCCCAATTATAAGAACTGTTAGGAGATAATGGACAACCATAATGAAGTGAGAAATCAGAAAGCACATAAACTTCATTCTAAAATTGTCTGACTAGATTATATAGGAGTAAGACCTATTTAAAAACGTTATAAATTGACAAATATTAAAGAAACGTATTACCAAGAATCATTTCTAAAGAAAAGTTAGTTAAAATATCAACTTTTGCAAGGAAAAAAAAGCTAGATAAGAACACAACATTTTTAAAAGCAATGATTTTGGATTGAGGGAACAGAGGTACAGCCTGGAATGTGTAGGGTTCTGGGTTCAATCCCAGTATCATGCACACACACACAACCAGTAAAAATTAAAAACAATGGTCATAGGGCCAGAGATGTAGTTCAGTGGCACAGCATCTACCTAGCAAAGCACAAGGCCCTGGGTTTGATTCCCAGTACAAAAAAAGTCATTATAGGAAATGATAAACATATAATTACAATAAATATAAATATAAAAACTTAAAATGTTAACATGTTAAACTGAAAACCAAAAAAAGAGTTACAATAATACTTGAATTGTATCAAGGTCTTTCTGACATTCAAAATGACAGAAATACCTAGCACTTCAGTTTTTGCTAAAAAAAGTTTATGCTAAAAATAGACATTAAAAATGTAAAGATAGGTAGAAAAATCTCCAAAATTGATGAGAAAAATAAAAACAAAAGAATAATAATGCTCTTCCCACAATAAAAAAAGAAAAGTTGTACAAAAAATCATAAAATACAAATTAATATATTGATGGCAGTGTTGTTAGAGGATCAAGTACACTTGGTTTGAAAAAAAAAAGCCTTTAAATATGTTTGTCTTTCTTTTACACAAAATGTAATATCTCCTGTAGAGAAGAAAATCATAAAAGTTACAAACAAAAAAGTCAAAATAAATATTCTTTCATAGTATGTTGGAGAAATAGCTTTTGTGTACTGTGTCTGACACAATACACTTTGAAGATATACTATGTTCTTCAATGTAATGTCTTACTACAGTGTCCCAATGTAATATCTTATCTACTATTCCCAAGAAAGTAGAATTCTAATATCACTACTAAACAAATTGTGATTTATTTGCTACCTTTTTCATTATTACTGTGGTCCCACCGAGGAGCAGATTCTAATGTAGGAACCTCATTTGCTTTTGTGCACATCCAGGAAATTTGCCCGGCAGACGCCTCTGACTCCCCTTCACACAAGTCAGAGTCAAATCCACAGTTCTGACACCCTACAGAGGCAAGGAAAGATCTAGTGAACCACTGTCGTTTAACAGTGTGGCTGCTTAAAGAGGAGTATATGTCATAATCAACAGAGAGGCCAACACATTAATATCTGGAAATTTTTATTTAATAAGCCTTAGATTATACCAGCAACTCTATTTGAAAAAGTTCAATGAATCTAGACACGCACCCTCTCAAAAAGAAATATGGGTGGAAGGAAAAACAGGAAGAAGAAAGAAAAGGAGAGAGAAAGGGAGCAAAAAAGAAGGAAGGAAGTAGAAGGGAGAGGAAACAGGGAGGGCTGGAAGGGAGGGAAAGAGCAAAGAGACAGAGAGACAGACAGAAACAGAAAGATCTAGTTTTTGGTACCACTGCTTCAATTAAAACCTTTATAGCATTTGGCCTGGGGCTTGGGTTGTGGCTCAGTGGCAGGGTACTTAGTATGAGTAAGGCCCTGGTTTTGATTCCCAGCACTAAAAAATGAGAGGGCCATTTGGCCTTACCTACTTCATAGAACTAGATAGTTTAATTATTTGCTATTCACAACTGCATTGAAATTTTAAAGGAGAAACAGTGTATAATTCTGCTGTCATTAGTGGAGTCACTTTAGAAAACATCACCTTCAATACATGTTTTCAGTATTTTACACCTTTTTCATAAACCACATACTTCTTACACACTTCATCTAACTCTAAGACATTAGTGCAAATATTCCTACCAGTGGTGTCTATATCTTATAAACTGTGTATATGCCAATAAGGCCAACATCTCAATTTAATACATTACATCTCAGGTCCTTATCGGTAGAATCAGATCTGCAGAGGTCTGTATTCAGACAGTAGAGCTCCTCCTTCGTATCTGGTGCTTCTTGACATGGTAAAAGTTGATCTATTAAACAGGAAGAATGGCAATAAGTGAGATGCAGGTATGACTAGAAAGATTTCTTAATATTAATTCAATTCTGTAAAGCACTTTCTACCCTTAAATAGCCCTATTAAACCAGAGTGTGTGTGTGGGGGGGGGTCCTATACTTGGAAGGATAGGAATAGAAATAGAAGAACTTACAACAGAAATAGGTCTAAATTTAAACTCCTGATTTTTTTTTTTTGAGTGCAAACTTTCTCTTCCCATAGTCTTTCCTGGCTTCATTAGTTAGACTTCTATCTGTTATACTTTACATGTCAAATGTCTCCCAAAGCCCCATGCACTCATAGGCGGGCTTTTAGGGGGTGGCTAGATCATGGATTAGCCCACTGATAGGTTAATAGCTGGGTGTGATGTTAGGAGGTGAAGCCTGGTGGGAAAAGTGAATTATTCTGGGTGAAACCTGGAAGAGCACATAGATATTTTTTTTTCTTCCCTTCATCCCACTCTCTGCTTTTTATCTGTCCTGCAATGGAATGTTTGTCCTCTGCCATGCCCCTATGCAATGCTGTCCTGACCTGGAGCCAGCCAACTGTGATTTGCTACTAATTATGAGCCCAAATAAACTTTTCCTCCTTCAACTTATGAATGTTGGGTATTTTATCTCAGCAGCAAGAAAGTAACTAAGACATCATCCTTCTAGTTTAGGCCGGAAAAAAAAATTGTGGATCTCTGGGTCTGGCTGTTTGTCTTTCTCAATAAATATACAGTACACTCCATCAGTAAATGTCTGTTTCATCTGCAAAACAAACACAGGCTCCAACAACATCTCACCTCCTGCACCACTACCACCAGCTCTGGCATATCCCTTCCTGGATTATAGTAATACCTTCTTAATTTTCCTCTATGTTACTTCTTTTAGCTACCCTATGATATTTAGATATGTAAGACCGATCTCAAATCCTTTTCGTAGGATTCCATTTTCTATGACAGAAACATGAAAGTCCTTCCCATGATCCCCTCATGCAAGACACATTTCTATTGCAGATCTTTGTAAATACAGTTCCTCTCAGTATGTACACACATACTCTACTCCTTAGTCTTCCCGCTTAGTTAACATGTTTTTAAAGGAAACACGTTGAGTGTTTCCTTTCTCGTCTCGGTTCACCTTTCTTGTTCTCCATAACAAGTATCACCACTTGACACAAAACATATTTTTTACTTATATGTTTAGTGTCTTTCTCCCCCTAGCCAAAATAAAAGCTAAATAGCAAAGGATCATAGTTTGTTTTTTTCTCTTTTCCACATACTGCTTTGAAAAGTTCTTATCATAACAAAGGTGCTCAATATAGACTTGTTTCACATGAGAAATAACCACAGAAAAATCAACAATAACTTTTTCAAATTGTTGTAGTCCCAACATAAATCATTTACATTTTATTTGTGAGAAAATTGAAGCAATGGTTATAAAAATGCTTTACCAAGAAATATATACAATCTGGCTTCTCATAAAGGGATTTTACAAATGATGAATATGCAAATCTTCCTGAACACAAGATATACTGAAAATAAAACTTCAGATGCAATTAAGGGAATATTGGCAATAAATCAAGCTCAGATTGCACAATAACGATTATCATGAAACAATTAAAACTACAATTTTAGAGCTTCAGTATGACGTGAAGACCTGAAAGCGTGTTCCACCTAGTCATGCATCCTTGGTGCACTGCTTGGAACCTAGCAAGGCCCCGCCCAGCAACTCAGAGCAACTGGGGATCCTTGGTGTGCCACTCTGGATCTGGCAGTGTCCCTCCCAGTGACGCCAAGCAGCCAGGGAGCTTTAGTGCACCATGTGGCACGAGCTGAAGGCCTCCATGGTGTACTCCATCTAGTTGTAAAGACTTAGTGCACTGCTCAAAACCTGGTAAGGACCCACCCAGTGACCCAATCAGCCGGAGAGCCTCGGCATACTATGTGGGGCATGCTGAAGGTTCACCCAGGTAACTCCACAGATTCAGGGAGCCAATTAGTGCCACTTGGGACCTGGTAAGGCCTGCCTAATGACCTTTATACAGCTGGGGAAACTCCGGCCAGTATGGACAGCCATAATCAACCCAGGAACCAACTGAGACTTTGCATTCAGCTGCCCCAGAGAAAGACAGGAAAATGACAAAACAAAAGAGCAAAATGCCATCTCAGACCTCCAGCCCATCCCAAACAAGCCTTGGAGACATGTATACAGAACAAAGTGTAAGTCACAAACATGGCAATTCTGAAATAATAGTAACTAAAGTAAAGAAACAATTCCATAAAGCTATAAAGGAACTCAGATCAGAAATAATCTCCCAGGTAAAACAAGAAATGATAAACATAATGAAAGAAATGCTAAACACACCTAAAGACATAGGTTAAAAAAAATAGAGGAACACTGCAAAACAATGGAAACTTTGAATGAACAATATAAAAAAGAATTAGAATGCATGAAACAAATTCAAAGAAATATCCAGAAAATCAAAAATTCCATTGAAAGTTGGCAAAACTGCCTCAATGAATGTGAAGATAGACTTTCAGACCGCAAAAGACAAGATTACAGCTAGTAAACAGGAAAGGAAAGATCCTTTAAAAATAACAAGGAATCAGGAATTCAGCAATTACAAGATAATACAAAAAAATAAGACTGATAAGTATAAATGAAAATGAAGGTGGAAACACAAATGATATGAAAAGACTATTTACGGAAGTAATAGCCAAAAAATTGCCATAGAAAAAGAAACTGACATGCAAACGACTGAATCATACAGAACTCCAATTAGCCATGAGCAAAATAAATCTACACCCAGACATATAATAATCAAAACCAACCCTGCAAAGAATACTGAAAGATATTCTAGATAGACAAAAAAATAACAACTTCAGGAAATCCAACCAAAGGAAAAAAAACCAACAACCAAGGCAAACAATTAAACAGAGAGGAAAGGTAAAGAACCAACAGCAGAAATATAACCTGATCAAAAAAAGTCAATATATATTACCTATGACCATTAAGGTAAATGGCCTCAATTCTCCAATTTAAAAAAAAAAAAAAAACAGACTGGCAGAATGAATCAGAAACAACATCCAACCGTACGCTGTATGCAAAAAACCCATCTAACCCCAAAGGAAATACATAGACTAAAGGTCAAGGATACGAAACAATACTTTATGCAACAGGAACCCAAAAATAGCAGGCGTAGCCATTCTGTTTACAGACAATGTGAACTTCAAACCAAGAGTGATCAAGAGAGATAAAGAAGGTCACTACATACTGCTCAGGGGAAAATTTCAAGAGGGAGAGATAACAGTCTTAAATATGTATGCATCAAATATGGGAGCACCCAGCTATATAACACAAATATTAATAAAAATAAAATTTCAAGAAGCAATAAAAAAATTATAATGGGAGACCTTAACAACCCATTGACACAAAGACACAGATCAATTATACAAAAAATCAGCAAAGAAATAACAGAAATTAACAAAATTTGTGAACAAATGGACTTAGTAGATGTGTACAAAGTGTTCCACCCAACAATATCAGAATATACATTCTTCCCAGCTGCACATGAGACCTTCTCTAATATTGACCATACAATAATCCATAGAACATGTTCAAGCAAATGCAAAAGAATCCAAATTATCCCATGCATATCATCTGGTCATAGTGCCATGAAACTGGGAATTAATGACAAAAGAAACTGTAAAAACTTTATAAACACATGGAAATTAAGTAATATATCTCTGAACAATCAATGTATCACAGAGGAAATTAAAGAAGAAATTAAACAATATATACAATTAAATGAAAATGCAAATACAATTTACCAGAACCTGTGAGATGCAATGAAAGCAGTCCACAGAAGGAAATTTATTGCGTGAATTCCCACATCAAGAAAATAGAACAAAGACAAATAAATAATCTGATGCTACACCTCAAACATCTAGAAAAAGAGCAGCAAGTGAAGCCCAAAGCCAAAAGAAGTGAGGAAATTATAAAAATCAGAGAAGAAATTAATACAATGGAGATTAAGAAAACAATACAAAGAATTAATGAATCAAAGAGTTGGTTTTTTGAATGAGTGAGTAAATAAAATTAATAAGTCTCTAGCCAACCTGATTAAAAACAGGAAAGAAAAAACTCAAATTCATGCAATAAGGAATGAAAAGGGTAAAATCATGACAGACCTTGTGGAAATACAGATCATCAATACATACTTCAAAAACCTTTAGTCTCATAAGTTCAATACCACAGCACAAACGGACATATTCCTAGAAACATGAGTTACCAAAGTTTGATCGAAAAAAATTTAAAACTGCTGCATGGCCCAATTTCAGTTAATAAAACAGAAAATGTAGTTAGAACCTTACCAACAAAGAAAAGCCCAGATGTTGATGGATTTACTGCTGATTTCTACAAGAAATTCAAGGAAAATTTAATGTCAACACTCCTCCAACTCTTCAGTGAAACTGAAAGGGAAGCAATTCTCCCTAATTCATTCCTGGAAGCAAGTATTACCCTAATAACTAAACCAGAGAAAAACCCATCCAAAAAGTGAATTATAACTCAATCTCCCTAATGAACTTAGACGCAAAAATCCTCAATAAAATACTGGTAAACAGAATGCAGCAAGTGATCAAGAAGATTACATGGCACAATCAAGTGGAACTCATCCTAGGAATGCAGGGATAGTTCAACATAGGCAAATCAATAAATCTAATTCACCAGATCAACAGAGTCAAATATAAGAATCACATAGTCAACTCAATAGATGCAGAAAAAGCTTTTGATAAAGTCCAACACCCATTCATGATAAGGACCCTATGGGAAATTGGAATAGATGATCTTTACCTCAATCTAATAAAAGCCATCTCTGACAAACCAACAACCAGCATCATATTAAATGGTCAAAAACTGAAAGCTTTCACTCAAAAATCAGGAATAAGACAAGGACATCCACTATCACTACTTCTATTAAATATAGTGCTGG